AATTTCCTATGACCCGTCCGTAGTAGAACTACATGTGAGTTTACTGACGATATTATGTATAATATATAATAAAGGTAAAGTAAGGTAAAGAAGTAAACAAGGTAAGGTACATATTAAAGAAAATCGATTTTCAACTTTTGCGAAATTCTGTACCGATTGATACAATTAATTGTTTATGTAGTTATTGGAGACTAACACCCGTATCTTTAGTCGTTTACACGAGCCTAACTCGACTCGACTCAACCTCCAACGCGCGTTTTGGTATGATTAGTCGTAAAAATAAACTCCACTCAAACGTCCTTGGAACATTTTCCTAACCGGAGTGAAGTAGGCGAACTGTCAAGTCAAGGTACGTCGCGACGTACCTTGAATGTTCCTCAAGGCTGGTTTTCTATCAATGTCCAAATAGTATGTGGACCGTAAATGGAAATATATGATATTGTTGTTATGGCCTGGATCTGTTCATGATTCTCGCATATTTTGATAATTTAATTTTGATAATATTTATTAATAAAGTAAATAGTTCGAGGTTAGACATTTGAAACACTTTATTTTATTTACCTACATAAGAGTCATATTTTGCTTACTACCTGATAAATAAAGGCAATGTGATTATAAGTTTTATTTATATAATAATAAACTGGTGGTTGTGGAAAAGCACTTCAACAACACGATGCAACCAAAATCACACAAAAGCGGCGAATAAAAATACAAAGCCGGATCCGAAATCTAAAATAATAATAGGTTAGAAAATAAATAATACACTTTCAGGTTTACCGCACGCACACATATTTACGATTAACTCAGCAACCAAAACATCAAATAAGTTCATCTAGTGAAACAGACAGCGGCAGCTTGACTTTGACATTAAACAATGACCATAGACTACAGAACTCTATGGGTTTGATGCTAGCTTGATCAAATTTTCATCATTATTACCTCACTCGAGGACAGTTGAGGAATATTGTAATGGTCGACTAAAAATACCAAACTCGAGTAAGTTTCGAGGGAATGCTCGAGCATCATCGGATGAGTTATGAGTGGAGGACTATTTTACGAAACGTCTAAAGATACGGGCATAAGGCACTGCTGCTATACCCATGCATTCGGGAACAATTTCCAGTCGGAATCACGCTGTCAGTATTTGGAGTGTGCTTCATAAATGTTGAACTTTTCACTTTTATTAGTGTAGATGACCAAATGATCTCACAGCCCAGCTGGTGTTTAGCGACTAGCAGAAAGTAGCCACAACGCGAAAACTACCTTCCGCTGTGAATGTAACCACAACCCACCGATACAGTGCTACAGTAAAATGAACGGTTAGTCGATCGACGCCGATAGTTGCACGACAATTCACCCGCCATTTGAGGTTTTAACGATTGGGTATGTTTGATTTACTGAGAACAGTCGGTTTATTGATGAAGACACCCGGATTGAGACAGCACTGCTTTAGCTTTATGCAGTCCTAACAGGTTGCTTTTTTATTGCCTCAATATCAACAACTTAAATGTCTCCAGCCACCTTTTGACATGAGTTCTAAGTCTAATTTCTATGTATAATAAGCGGCTACCTGTCCTTCAAAATATAATACCTTACTATATTACTATAGCTTTACATGAGTGGGTAGAAGAATACAATACTTATATGGAGGCAGAAATAGACGGATTAGAGGTAGCGACCCGCGCGGGATCCCGAGACGCCCTACCACCAGTACTTGCGCACTTTATAATTTTTACGGGTTTGATTTGTTATTACACAATTCCTTCATTGTGGAATTCATTCGTGAACATGTGTTAAATACGTATTTCATGGAATGATTTGTACCCGTCTGCGGGATTCAAACAACGGCACAAACGCATCGTTCCATACGAATGCAGCTGGCATATTTTCCTTTAGGCCATGACAACTTTATAGTTTAATCTTTCTTGTTATCCCCGTAACCCCGTGTTATCAACCAAGAGGAATTATAGAAGTTTATAGTTGCCGTCTGACAAGTGGCCTCCGCGCTAGAACGCACTCGTGCGTATTTATGCCATAGTAAATCCACAAATTGCTAAAGAATTTGTAACATCGTACATCTTCTTCAAACGCTCACATTTGAAGAAGATAGAAGTAAAAAGACATGATACGCTATAGCTTGTAGGTTTAAGTTGCCTGCCTGTTTGAACCTCACGCCTATTATCTTTTATTTCATGTATATAAAAGCTTTAAGCTGATTACACAAAACAAGAAAACCTTTAAATCATATGTGATGTATTTCGACCTTGTAACGGATCTGGAAAGATCTTAACATTAATTAATACACCCAAGAATTTACTATATCTTTGTGTGGGTATTGTAAATAATAAGTGCTAAGTATTGCTACATTATACCTCCATCTTAACTTCATCGACATTTTTAAGATATGCATCAAAGCTCTGCTCTGTTTTGTAAAATTATAAAAATAACATCAATACTTAATTTTAAACTTGTAATGTTTATCTTCTAGACCTGCCATGCTGAAACGCCATGATACCCAGCGCCATTAACTAGGATCCAAGGTCATCGGCCTTGCGTCTGTACGTTCCCTGGCTCGCACACAGAGACAGAACGTCATTTAACAACCACATGCATAAACAAACTAATCAAAGGGGAGAAACGGGTTGCTGATTCGCTACTCTAACTTGAAAATCTTGTTCCTTTAATATTAAGTAATTTCGTAAAATTTAGAAATACAATTTGTTTTTTTAAATTTCAGTCAGCTCTTATCATAAGAAAAAAGCATTAGTTACTACATTTTTAACAGACAAAACGAAACAATAGGCTTGAGACTTTTCAATCTGATCTTGAATCAATAATTGTTTGCTTTTTCAAGTTGTCTAAAAAATAGTCGATTTTTGTTGCAAAATGGCACACGAAGACGACATTTTGTAACTAAAATCACCAAATTATTGTATATCTATTAGCAAACAGATAAATCAGATAATAGTTATAGCCATAACAAAAGGTCCAGCTATCAAAGACAATTCTTCATATTGAAATCCCATTTCATTATTCCTGAACCAATCGATTACTTGAAACCACTATATTTTTTAAGATAAAAACTTTCGAGAGCATTAGGATTTCGTTTATTATGTGGCAGATTGTTCTATTGATCCACCCAAACAAAACTTGTAACACAGTAAAAAATGTTATGTTGGTTATTATTCGAAAAATGTTTCTAAATTAACAAATATGTTTACACTTTTATCACTTACTATCAGTTACAACTTATATTAACCATGGTTGACATTCAAAAAGAGAAATTTAAACTTGTTGTGTTATTCTCTGTGTCAGAACTCGGAAGTTAGAAGTTAGTTAGAAGCTATTATTTACACTACATAACTATTTTGATTTTTTTTAAAAACTTTTATGATTTGATAATATTTTTATCTATCTATCTCTCATTTATACTGACTAGTAGATGAATTGTTGGTCTAAACTGAATAAATAATAATCAGTAAATTTATTATTCATTCAAAATGAGCAGAACTTAACTAAACGACCAATATCATTATAGTTATTGTAATTAGGGCTCACGTCTAAATGAGGTCTGGTTGTGGAAAGTGTAGTGGGTATTTTTATTTGGCTTTTATTTACACAACAATACAAACCGGATATGTATCCATCCATGAATCCGTATTTTTACGAAGCTCAAAAAATAAACTTACAAGAAGATAATCCATTAGGGTCAGGTACATCTAAAAGCTATATTAAGTAATTGATTTGTTGATTGTTTTTAAACATCATCAATGTACAAACACTTCTGTTTTATGGATAATTTTATAACAGATACATAGATGTCAAAATTAGATAAAATACAAGGACTCACAAAATGCAACTACGGTAGTGGTAGGTGACTATTTAAAAATAACCTGAAATAAAATAGCCTGTAAAGCCCTAGCCAAATCAAAAACATATTGTTTTAAATGATTTCAGTGATTTCTATAAATCAGCTTAAGCAGAAATGCTGAAGTAAAAAAAGATTTCTATTGTTGTTTTAAAAGCAAATATGTAATTCAAAAATTTATTATAGTTTTTTGTATAATAATTACAACACCACAGAGCATTAAACAAATTATTTCATTAAAATTAACATTAAACTGATCTAATTAATGCAAAGTTTTGTGTTGAAATTGCACTCGTTCAATTACAAAGTTTTTTTTATTGCTTAGATGAGTGGACAAGCTCACAGACCACCTGGTGTTAAGTGGTTACTGGAGCCCATAGACATCTACAACCGTAAATGCGCCACCCACCTTGTGATATAAATTCTAAGGTCTCAGTATAGTTAGGTCTCAAGTATAGTTACAATGGTTGCCCCACCCTTCAAACCGAAACGCATTACTGCTTCACGGTAGAAATAGGCGGGGTGGTGGTACCTACCCGTGCGGACTCACAAGAGGTCCTACCACCAGTAAATAAATCTAAGTAAAATTGATAAATATAAGTAAAAATCCTCATCTCTCAACCCATTAATAATGTGAACATATTGCTGGCTGGTTGACCTATTGAAATATTTAAAATATTTAAAATTTATGCTTGATAATGACCAAAGAAGTGAAGTGTTTGAGAAAGAGAGACTAGATATCATACACTAAACACGCATTATTAATTGTAGTTAGTTAAATAAAATATTGATAAATATTTCATGAACGTTATAATTATTCATCTAGTATAGTGTGAGGACACATGTGTATCCAACACAATTCTGCCTATTTCTACTAGAAATTAGTCATGCATTCTGGTCTAAAAAATGGGATAGCCACTGAATAATTGAGACTTGGACCTCATCAGTCAAGTTGGGTAACAGAGTTCACTACCTATTGTCTATGGGATTGTCTATGGGATTCCCATTTAAAACCAGCTGGTCTCCGAGCTCTTGTGCTCATCTGTAGCAATAAAAAAATCCGGAAAGTGAATACTGTAACTGACTTGTAGTCAATTCTTTTGGAAGGATACATTCTTTAAATCAACCTTACCTTCAGGATAAGCTTGTTTATTGGCGATAGCGTCGATGATCATATGTGTGGAGTTGTATAGCGGGCCCATGGCTCGCATGTCGAATTGCAGACTGGCCACATAAGTTGTGTTAATTATGGGTGTCGAGTAATTAGGAGTCGCCAGGTCCATAACGTCCGACATATCAAGGATCAGTTGCTGGCTGATTTTATTCATGTCGTGTCCGATTTCGGCTCGCGAACACCGCCACAAACACACCCAGAATACCAACACCAAAAACCGACACATTTTGCCGGCTGTTCCCGTTACACTATTTACATTACTGGCTTCCAGAAGATCGATGCACCATGCACTATTTATATCTGGTTCTGGGGTAAACTGTTTGTTTGATAAACAAACTCCGAGATACCCTAAACACAAACACAATCGAAGTCGATAACGAAATAAAATTCGANGCCACAAACACACCCAGAATACCAACACCAAAAACCGACACATTTTGCCGGCTGTTCCCGTTACACTATTTACATTACTGGCTTCCAGAAGATCGATGCACCATGCACTATTTATATCTGGTTCTGGGGTAAACTGTTTGTTTGATAAACAAACTCCGAGATACCCTAAACACAAACACAATCGAAGTCGATAACGAAACAAAATTCGATATTTTCCAACGCGATAATATTAGGCACCGAGCACCCAGAGGAATTTGTACACTGAATAATGATATTCTGTTCAAGTTTTAAGTCAAGATTAACATGTTTGTGTAAATTTAATCGTTACACGACAAACCAGACCGAGGACACCCTACAGAACTAGTCGGTCGATGAATAGCACGAACACGAATGATTCAATGAATGAAGTGAATGAACGTCCTAAACATTTTTTTTTAGATGTTATAGCCTGGTAACTAGACTTTTAAGCCATTCTTTTTTCAAGAGATCAAGCAAATTCAGATGTAGTTGATTAGTTTGTGACTTTGATCAATTTATATGAAATCAAATAAAACGAATGAAATTGGATGAAATTAAGGTCAGTAAAATTACCACCATTGACTGAGACATTTTGAAAGAACCCAAGAAGTTAAGTCCAGTGGTTTTAAGCTAAAAAGTTCCGACAGGATAGTAAGCCAATAGTGTGTAATAGAGATGGGAGATACTGAGATCCAACAGATAATATGAATAGAAAAAAAATGTTTTTAATATCTACACGTGAGTGTTCTTTTATCTCCCTTAAATGGGTTTAATCAGATAATTTACCGAAAAGATATGATTTTTAATAATAATAATTTACTAATTAAAATGTCAGTTCTCAGTAGTGGTAACTTTGAATTCAAATCTAACCATAGAGATAGTATTTTATCGAGTTGTAGGTACTTATTAACTCCATGAATCTAACCTTTATAACTCAAGTTATAATTAAAATTCTGTTTGTAGGTCACAAATTCTCTATGTACAAAAATTGTGCTCTTTATGTTGATTTATGCTTTATTTTAAATAGAACAAATTAACGGCTCTGTATATTTTATTCAGCAAAGGTAAATAATAAAATGTTTAGTGTCATTATTATTATTTGTATTTAAAACATTTACATTGTATATTTATAAATTTATTTATTTAAGTGTAGTATTTATTTAAGTGTGTGTCTGTCTTTTGTTAAAACCTGTTTATTAAATTTTTCTGCGTTTAAACTCAGCTCGCTTCAAAATATCATCATACTTAATAGCAACAAATCATACTTTGAAAACCTCAAACTATCCATTAGTATCCATCTTTATTTACCCATCCCTAAATTTAATGACGTCCCAATGGAGTTAACAGGTAATCTATGGACCTCCCGAAGATAGGGCTCATTGAATTTAGCCCCCCTTTTTTGATTTACGATTTTTTTTTATTTTCAATTATTTGTTCGTCATTTGTTCGTTAATGTCCGAATGTAAAAATTGTTTGTTCGTCTTTTATTTATTTATAATTAATTAAACAAATGATCACCCTTAAGTTGGCTCCCTTCACTAGATATCTTTATTTTTATCGTTTAGGTTAATCAATTATGATCAATTATCGTTTGGTCGACGACTATTGGCGATTGTTCGATCATAAAATCAATTAAATTCCCAATTATTAATTATTTTATATCTAATAAGCAAACCATCAACTCACGACTACATTGCGCATGCGCTGGTTTAGTCAGTCAGCTGGCAATGGCCGTATTTACTAGCGTTTTGTTAACAAGTGCGTTTATACTGTCTAATTATTTCTTATGTAGATCAAAAAAATATTGAAAACTTTAACAAACTTCAACAATATTTCAACAAAAAAATGTCAGTAAAGACGGCCAATGAGTCGTTACGGTACGATTAGCGCGGTTTAATAAATTCAGTTATCTTTAATGATATTAAATATTAACAAGCATATAGAAATTTCAGTGATTTCTAATTATTCTAAGAATATTTTAGGAGTACAACTTTCGTGTTAAAATGATACTATTTATTACACGAATTGAAGTATGCCTTATTTGCCTGATCTAGCGCCATCAGACTTCCACTTATTCCCTAAGCTCAAAACTTTTTTGGGCAGACAGAAATTTGCCACAAATGGTGAAGTCATAGCCGCTGTAGTAGAGTATTTAGCAGGCCTCGAAAGAAATCATTTTATGGAAGGTATTACTGCTTTAGGACGAAGATGGAATAAATGCGTAGAGGTTCACGGAGACTATGTCAAAAAATAAAATTAATTTTATCACGGAAAGTTAAGTGTTTTATTGTTAGGCTAGTTACTTATCATCCCGCCCTTGTACATAAGAATTAGACAGTATAAACGCACTTGTTAACAAAACGCTAGTAAATACGGCCATTGCCAGCTGACTGACAAAACCGGCGCATGCGCAATGTAGGCGTGAGGTGATGGTTTGCTTAATAATTATAAAAAATATATATTAGGAATTTCATTGTTTTTATGATCGAACAATCACCAATAATCGTCGACCAAACGATAATTGATCATAATTGATTAACCTAAACGATAAAAATAAAGATATCTAGTGAAGGGAGTCAACTTAAGGGTGATCATTTGTTTAATTAATTATAAATAAATAAAAGACGAACAAACAATTTTTACATTCGGACATTAACGAACAAATGACGAACAAATAATTGAAAATAAAAAAAAATCGTAAATCAAAAAAGGGGGGCTAAATTCAATGAGCCCTATCTTCGGGAGGTCCATAGATTACCTATTAACTCCATGGGGACGTCATTAAATTTAGGGATGGGTAAATAACATAGACCTATATAGTAGGGACACGACATATTGTTCTATACGTACAATTGCTTATATAAATAGCACCCATTTTGAAGGCACATACATAAACATATATCTATCTCGTTCTTACTCAGCACTTTAACTCGCAGGAAAACAATATAACAGTATTTCAGTGCGTACATAAAATGAAACATGAATATACGTAAATATCTCCGTCTCCGTCTAATGAGGCCGAAAATCCGCCATGTTTAGCGCGCCAAATGTCATTGTCACGTCNTGCGCCGGCAGTCCGCCACAAAGCCTCGTACTGATCGCGCGTTTCTCTCATTATTGTATTTTCATATATTTGTTAGTCGTTTGTTTTGTGTCTCGTTAATTTGTTAATAATCTGTAGTGTATCGTGTTGTCGTAATATAGAACTATTTCTCGTATTGTTTCGTTTAATTTTTTATATCCAGTAAACTCCAGTCGTGCGTCGGAGCGGACACACACACTTTTTTTTATTGAATTGTGTATCGTCTGTAGGCAGGGGTTTGACCTGGCCACTGGTATTGATGGTTTCCATGCGCCATAATAACTATTTAACATAATATGAATCGTATACATACCGGATCTGGAAAAAAAATCCTTCCGTGATGTTCATTGAGCCCTATGACCTGTTCTTAACGGCCTGGCTTCGAATTTACTTTCTACAATTGTACGTTAGCGAGGTTGACCATGTCAGGGAACCCCAAAAATAGACCAGTCTAATTTCTATGCTATTTCTTCAGCCGTACCAGATGCGCCTTCAGCTCCCGTACCAGACGACTGGTCGGCCAACCACGTGGACCTCAAATGGGAGGCGCCGCTATCAGACGGAGGATCGCCCATTATCGGCTACATCGTCGAGAAGAAAGACAAATACAGTCCGCTGTGGGAGAAGGCTGTGGAGACCCACACGCCCACACCCACTGCTACTGTAAATGGGTAAGTTAACAACACTCGTCGGGGCTCTCGGAGCAGTGTGCTTAGTGCGAGCTTTTTAACGTACTCGATAGCGTAAAATATAGCCCAATTTTGTATGCAGTTGGATCAGCGCCCCTAGCGGCAAACGTAGGCAAACGATCCCATTCCATACAAATATATAATTAAAATTATAAATAAAAAGAAATTAGTATGACTAAGCTACATATTGAGGGAGTTGCCATTGGTGATTTTTTTTATTTTAAACAATTCACATTAAATCTTCATAAAAAAAACATTATATTGCAAAAACGTTGCGTTTTACATTTGATCACTCGTTTTCGCACTCGTGCGCATTGTGGAGAGTTAATTTTTACGATATCTAAAACGTTAAAAAACTCGCACTAAGCACACAGATGTTAGATCGAAGTCTCAATAAAACTATAATAACCGTACTGTCCTTTCAATGGCAACCGTAGCCAGTTCGGGCGAGGCTGATAATATGCGTGACGGTGAAGACGTTCATGAACACGTCTTTCATAGAAAAGTTCATGTTGCCGTAATGGGACCTCGGACCGCATCCCTCGCTACGAGTACTCCGGGCGACACAATGTGCTCCCACCGCGGTACTGTAATGTTGATTTACAATAGGATAGTACTGTGCGAAAACTGTACATTTTTCCAGAGGCGGATTATCTGTAAGGCAAACTAGGCACGTGCCTACGGGCGTGTAGTTACAAGGGGCGCGCGAGCTCAGAACTTTTAAATAAATTAAGAAAATAACATATCGACGATTAAGAACTAAATGCTGATCTATAATCTTAATCTATAATAGATTATATTGCACAAGCATCGATATACTCGTATTATGCAGTATTGCGGGTTGTTGCTATTGTAATATATTCGTTCTGTCGTCCCTCTTGATTTCTTCACAGCTATAACGTCGTATTTCATTCGCGCATTAGCGTAAGTACAAGGGTCCTATTCTACTAAAGACTAGGGTTTGATGATACAACGTCATCGTAACTGCAAAAACAACTAGTTAAAATGTATAGTTTTATGATGGCCGCTTATGGCCGGTACAGGGGCGCCGATAAAATGATTGCCTAGGGTGCTCTGGACCTTTAATCCGCCACTGCATTTGACCACCAGCACGTATCATTTCCTTAAACGTTCATAAAAGTTGCAATAATTTAATTATTTTAACCCGTCTAGGCTGATCGAAGGCAACGAGTACCAGTTCCGTGTGATCGCTATCAACAAGGCTGGTCAGAGCAAACCCTCGGACTCTTCTAAGAACTTCGTGGCGAAGGCTCGCTTCCTGGCTCCGAAGATCGACAGGAGACACCTCCGTGACGTCACTCTGTCCGCCGGAGCTACACTCAAGCTGGAGGCCGCCGTCGCAGGAGAACCAGCTCCAGCTGTTGAATGGAGGTAAGCTTAGAAAGTTTTTTACTCTCAAATTTATTTTTAAACAAGCGGCACGCTCCGGCTCCGCTCGGGTCTTTAACAAAAATTTCAACGATATTTGACGTTGTTTTATTTTTTTAAATAAATGAACACTTATTACGGCATAACTATAATAGTTAGACATATGCTGTCGCGACACATTTTGTAAATAATAATGTGTTCTACAAAGTCGTAGTACATTATTTTATTCTATCATCAAAAGTTTTCGCAGGGCACTCGATGTAAAGAATATTTTAGGTAATTTTTTTACACTTTGGGCTACATTATTGGAGTTTTAGTAAGGATTTAGTAAGGATATTTTTTTTTCAAAAAAGATTATAGCCTATGTCACTCGGGAATAGTGTAGCTTTCAAATAGTTAAATAATGTTTCGGTGTATATTCAATTCAAATAAACAAACAAAGCTTTCCTCTTTATAATATTAGTATAGAAGTATTGTATGTCTCAAGGTGGTTGCCGGCATTTACATTGCTGATGTCTATTGGCTCTGGCAACCATTTGACACGAGGTGGAACGTGAGCTTTTCCGCCTGTTTACACAACAGACTAAACTGTATGTCAAAATGTCTCAAATCAATAAAAACAAAATGGTAGTAACTATGCTCTTATTTTAATACTAATTTTCGTTTAAAGATACCAAAATATGCCTCTGCGGCCATCGAAGGCGGTGACTATCGACAACCCGGAGTACTTCACGAAGCTGGTGGTGCGGCCGGTGCGGCGCGACGACACCGGCGAGTACACCGTCACCGCGGTCAACTCCAGCGGGAAAGACGCCGTCACCATCAATGTCACCGTCACCGACAAGCCCACCAAGCCCGAGGGACCGATACAGGTGACAACGGAATATTGCTTCTCGTTAATTACTTGTTATTTCATTTATTTGCATCGAATTAACTAGAGCGCCATCTGTCGTACTATGGTAGTACTATTCCGGGAACTAATCGATCAACGTGATAGGAATTTTTATTATTTTATTGCTTAAACGGGTGGACGAGCTCACAGCCCACCTGGTGTTAAGTGGTTACTGGAGCCCATAGACATCTACAACGTAAATGCCGTCACCCACCTTGAGATATAAGTTCTAAGGTCTCAAGTATAGTTACAACGGCTGCCCCACCCTTCAAACCGAAACGCATCACTGCTTCACGGCAGAATTAGGCGGGGTGGTGGTAACTCCCGTATAGACTCACAAGAGGATACCACCAGTAAATGGGTCCAGGAAAGTGGGTCTGTTCCACCTTAGTTAATCTCTTATTACGGCATTTACGCCGCTGATGTCTATTGGCTCCGTGAGCTCATTTACACGTCTAAGCGATAAAAATAAAAACGTTTTACTGGCACGGTTTTCTCACAGATATGTTATATTGAATCGCAGATCTCGGATGTCCACAAAGAGGGAGCTACACTCAAATGGAAGAGGCCCAAGGACGACGGCGGCACTCCCATCGAGTACTACCAGATCGACAAGCTCGACACCGACACCGGCTGCTGGGTGCCCTGTGCTAGATCTGAGGAGCCTAGTGAGTTTTTATTTGTGATTATTGCTTTGGGAAAAAAATTAGACGCGCCCTTGCTGGGAAACGCATTCGTTGTTTTTATTGTGTCATAAACAGAAATTAAAAAGAAATTTAAGTCATTTTGGACATAAAAAAGCTATAGAAAGTTTTTGTAAGATACTCTCGCCTGAAAATAAGTAGTATACCAGACCTAGCAAAAAGATTTGCAGATAGAAGATGAGAATGGTACCACTGGGGACACAAATCAGCTAACTCAACTTCTCCTGATGAAAATCTGTTATCAAATTAGATTATTGTTTTTGAAGAAACAGATTGCTAAGTTGCAGGATAGAAAAACATTTTTTTTTTCTTAAACAATTTTATATAATGACGCCACCGTCTCAGAGCGCAACAATTGTATTGTTTGTTGAAATTTGCGTCACCAAAATATCAGTAAAATAGCTTCCAGCTATTCATTTATTGAAACTGTTAAATTTCTTAAATTCAAATTCAAAATCATTTATTTCAACTTAGATGTCAGTATAACACACTTGTTGAATGTCAAAATATAAATAACAATGTTAACTCTACCACGGGTCCAAAAAAAGCCACAGTCCTGAGAAGAACCGGCGAAACAAACTCAGCGATTAGCAAGCTCTAAGTTTAAAATAGCATAAGACATCAGGCAACTAATTCACTGCTGAGATGCATTAAATTATATACAAAAAACAGCTGCTTGAGCATCTAAATAAAGCTCTTAATTTAACAGATGAAAGATCCATATTCTAACAGCATTTCTTTAGAATGTAGTGTACGTTACAAAGACAGAGATAATATCATAGATAATAGAGTACAATGTATTTTTTATTACAGAATGCGACGTCACCGGCTTGACTCCTGGCAAGGAGTACAAGTTCCGCGTGTCTGCCGTCAATGCTGAGGGTGAATCTGAACCGCTGGTGACAGACCACGCCATCGTCGCCAAGAATCCGTTCGACGAACCTGGTACGATGGGATTTAGTTTAAGGAAGCTACCTAAATGGGATATATAACTTGGGACTGTTTCGAACAGAAGTTTCTTCTAAGCTTAAATATTGCACTATGACATTTTCTGTGGTTTCCAATAACTATGATTGCGATAGGGTGGAAAACTAATTTTAATTAATAATGAAACAAAAAAAATTGTGCCCTTGGAACTTGATGCATGTGAAAGAAGTGAAACTTCTGTTGCCTCTATGCCTAGCTTCAATTTTCAAATTAAAAAAAATTATCATGTAATAGGGAATGCTGTAAATAAGAAAAAGGACTTAGCTCGCTTTGTCCTTTCCCTCTCTCTACGGTCAAGGGGTTCGCGAGAAGCTCCGTATATTTTCTCACTCTCGATCTCTAATTGTATCTTTTCTCTCTAGCCTTAACAAATTTGGTGAGAGTTAAATTTTACTCTCAATGCGCCTAAAGAAGTTTCAAGAAGTTTCACTTCGAAACCAACTTACAACCATAAAGTATTTTAGCTCTAACGAACAATGCTCTGTCTAGGCGCACCCGGAACGCCAACCGTTACCGACTGGGACAAGGACCACGTGGACCTCAAATGGACCCCACCACGCGAAGACGGCGGCGCTCCTGTCGAAGCTTACATCGTCGAGAAGAAGGACAAGTTCGGCAACTGGGAGAAGGCCGTCGAGGTACCGGCCAGCAAGACCTCCGCCACCGTGCCCGATCTCATCGAAGGACAGACCTACGAGTTTAGGTAAACCGTTATTACAACAGCAATTACAATGTTTTATCTATGTCTTCTTCTTGCCCTTATCCCACTATGTGATCGGCAGTATGTCCTATTATTCCATTTAGGCCCATAATTTTACACACAGTATATCTAAAGTATTTTATCTTAAGTTTTATTACTGAAGAGGGTAGACGAACTCACGGCCGACCTGACGTTAAGTGGTTATCGGAGCCCATAGACATCTACAACGTAAATGCCGCCACCCACCTTGAGACATGAGTTCTAAGGTCTCCGTTTCTAGTACAACGGCTGTAGCACCCTTCAAACCGAAACGCATTACTGTTTCATGGCAGAAATAGGCAGGGCGGTGGTACCTACCCGTGCGGACTCACAAGAGGTCCTACCACCAGTGTTATGCCTTATATCTCTTTATATTATTATATTATATGTGTGTGTCCAAAGTAAAGAAAACGATCCATGAATTATAAAACAATATCATAGTCACTATAGCAAAATTGTTATTTATCAAAGGTAATTAATATAAGTATTTAAGTATAAGTACATAAGCTCTATATTTATTATTTAATACAACAGAGTACGTGCGGTGAACAAGGCCGGGCCAGGCGAGCCCAGCGATAGCACTCATCCTATCGTCGCCAAGCCCAGGAACATGGCGCCCAAGATCGACAGGACCAACCTTATCGATATTAAGATCAAAGTCGGACAGAAATTCGGATTTGATGTTAAGGTAAGTTTTTTTTTTGTAATCCTTTAATTATTAATTCCTTAAAACTTACAACACGTTCCTTTTGTCGTTCAGTATTATCGATAACAAAAACAATTTGAAGCCACTGATATTTTCCTAAAGTGGTGGTTCAATGGTGTGGATTGGGAGAGGCCTATGTCCAGCATGACTGTGGGCTGATTTTTTTTCTTTTTCCTACCTATGCTGATAGCCTTGAGAGGTTATTTCAGCTTCACCCTAACCTGTGAGCTCACACCGGGGCTCAAACCGGAGAGTTGCTAATACCGACCCTAGCAAGAGCAGTGTTTCGCAGAATCTACCACCCACCGGATCGGAAACGCACCCACTGAGAAGATCCGGCGAGAAACTCAGTGGGCTGTGTCTGAGGGTTAATTTGCTTGTCGAGCTCTTCGTCGCAAGCGACGGGTTCGACGAAGACGGGGACCGGTGCCTGTGGTGCCTAAAAGCACCGTTAATGGATATGGGCTGATGATGATGCCGATGATGACATTTTTTTAAACATTCAAAGGTATCCGGAGAACCGATGCCTGTAACGAAATGGTTCCTGGTGAAGAAGGAAGTGAAGTCCGGCGGCGACATGAAGGTGCAGCACACGGACTACAACACGAAGCTGAGCTGCAAGGCGGCCACGCGCGCCGACAGCGGCCGCTACACCGTCACCGCGGAGAACAGCAACGGGAAGGACGTGGCCGAGGTCGAGGTCGTCGTGCTCAGCGTGCCCGCGCCACCCGGTGGACCACTTAAGGTCTTATATTACATACGTTTTTCTTCTTCTTCTTTTTCTCCACCTTATCTCACTAGGTGAGGACGGCACAGCTAATTTTTCTCTTCCATTCTCTTCTATCAGCCGTCATCTCAACACTCACTCCTCTCTCTCTCATATCGTCATTCACACACTTCATCCATGTCTTCTTTGGTCGACCCCTTCCCCCTCTACCTTGCACTACCATTTCCGTACATCTCCTAGTCACATGCATCTTCTCTCTACGCATCACATATCCATACCACGCTAACCGTCCGCTCTTTAATTTGTTGATTACTGGGGCTACTTTCACACTTCCTCTTCACATATATTTGTAGTTATATTATTTAATTGAACTCACCGCTCTGCGACGATAAGGACCAAGACAATTCACACTACATTTCAGAAAAACCGAAATGTAATGTAATGTACATACATAGTCCCGAATGTGGAGCTTCAGTATGGCAAGTCAATGGCCAAATATAGGCATTAAATATGGACATATTTTGGAGAACCGAGCGCCAATCGACGAGCTTTGAGAAGTGTCCGATAATCGACACCGTTGTACCGATTAAGTGATGTTAACCACAGGACTAGAGTCGGCTCAGCTCAATGCGAATTGGCCCTGAATTTTTTTTCCTACCTAGCGTGATCCACTGAGAAGATCCGGTGAGAAACTCAGTGGGCTGTGTCTGAGGGTTAATTTACTCGTCGAGACCTTCGTCGCAAGCGACTGGTTCGACGAGAATGATGACCGGTGCTTGAAGTACCTAAAAGCACCGGTAATGGATCGGGAGGATCCGAAATGACGTGTTTGGGGCGACGTCGAGTGCTTTCCATTCTGTCCACAGGATCGGGAATGCAGTTACCGGCGGCCACGATAAGCGGGTTCTCGTGTCGTGCCGCTTCATCGAAGTGGTGGCCCTGAAACTGATGTAAGGCGTTTTTATTGACAGGTATCGGACGTTCACGCGAACGGTGCCACGTTGTCGTGGAGGCCGCCGCCCGACGACGGCGGACAGCCCATCGACAAGTACGTGGTGGAGCGCATGGACGAGGCCACGGGGCGCTGGGTCACGGCTGGCGAGACCGACGGGCCCGTCACCAGCCTCGCCGTCGACGGCCTGCAGCCCGGGCACAAGTACAAGTTCCGGGTCAGCGCTGTTAACAGGTAAACGTCTCATCTACAGTGTGCTTGCTAAGCATAATGCTTAGATGGGTGGACGAGCTCACAGCCCACCTGGTTGTTATGCGGTTACTGGAGCTCATAGACATTTACAGCATAAATGCGCCACCAACCTTAAGATATAAGTTCTAAGATCTCAGTATAGTTACAACGGCAGCCCCACCCTTCAAACCGAAACGCATTACTGCTTTATGTCAGAAATGGGCAGGGTGGATGTGGTCAGTAATGTCAGTAATACCAGTAAAGAGACTACGAGACCAGTAAAGATGCTTATTATATTTTTTACAGGCAAGGCCGTTCCGACCCCCTTACGACCCCGCACTCCACGGAAGCCAAGAATCCGTTCGACGTGGCTGGAAAACCTGGCACACCGAAGATCAAGGACTTCGACAAAGACTTTGTGGAACTGGAATGGACCAGACCGCAAACCGATGGAGGGGCTCCCATCACTGGATATGTCATTGAGAAGAAAGATCGATTCGCGCCCGACTGGGAAGAATGCGCAAAGGTGAGTTACGATCAAACAATGGATATGTCATTAAAATGACTTTAAATTTCGATTATTTTACAGTTTGCTTGCTCATGAACGACTGAGGTATTATTTGTCGATCCATGAATATAATGCTAACTACCGTCAAAATTTTAGATTTTTTTTATTATTATTGAAAACTACCTTCTTTGCACATGTTACACAGACAGAGCTAGAGGTCTGGCAGTTTGTTTGGCTTGAATTTTCATCTTCACGATAAGAGGCTCCCATATATAATATTAAATAAGGATAAATCCTTTCATATAAAAATGTTAGTTCAATATTAAAATAGAATACAAAAATAAAGGCTTGGATAATGTTCGAATTTTGGCTCTTTTTGGAAGCGATGGTAAAGTTTGTTCTGAATTTGTATAAGGATGTTAAATGACAACAAAATTAAATGAAATTTTCTTCAATATCGAAATTTATAGAAACCGGTTATGATTTTATTGGTTATTTCATAATGTGTTTTGTTTTTCAGATCGACGGTGATGTCACATCTGGTAAAGTGCCGGACCTCATTGAAGGCAATACATATGAATTCCGTGTTCGTGCCGTCAACAAGGCCGGCAAGGGTGAGCCTAGTGACGGCACCGCTCCACACCTGGCCCGTCCCAAGAACCTGCCGCCCAAGATCGACAGGAACTTCATGTTCGACATCAAAGTTAAGGTCGGACAGAACTTCGACCTCGAGGTGCCGGTCGCCGGCGAACCCACTCCGACCAAGGAGTGGCTCCACGGTGACAACGTTGTCCTCAACACCGACAGAATCAAGATCGTCAATGACGACCACAGCACGAAGTTCCGTGTCATCGATGCCAAGCGAGCGGACACCGGCACGTACACGCTCAAAGCGAGAAACATCAACGGTACCGACACCGCTACCGTCAAGGTGCTGGTCATGGACGTGCCCACCGCTCCCGAGGGACCGCTGCGTGCCGACGACATCACTAAATCTGGATGCACGCTGCGCTGGAGACCACCCAAGGACGACGGTGGTGCCGAAATCACACACTACGTCGTCGAGAAAATGGACCAGGAGAACCTGCGCTGGATCCCTGCCGGCGAGGTACAGGGCTGCAACATCAGGATAGATCACCTCATCGAAGGACACGACTACAACTTCAGAGTCCGCGCCGTCAACAAACATGGCGAATCTCAACCTCTTGTTGGACACGAGCCCATCACTGCCAAGGATCCTTATGGTACCCCCGATAAGCCCGGAACACCTGTCGTCAAAGACTGGGACAAAGATCACATGGACCTGGAATGGGTGCCACCAAAGAAGGACGGAGGTTCACCCATTACTGGCTACATTATAGAAGCGAAGAAGAAGTATGGACCTTGGGAAGTGGCAGCAACCGTGCCAGGAAACCAAACCACCGCTACAGTACCTGGCTTACAAGAAGGCGAGGAATACGAGTTCAGAGTAATCGCTGTTAACAAGGCCGGCAATGGAGAACCTAGCGATGGGTCCACTCCACAAGTCGCTAAGGCCAGGTTCTGTGCCCCACACTTCGATAAGATGCTACTCGCAGATAAGACAGTTAAGGCGGGACAGAGGATTCAATACGAGATCCCTATCGAAGCTTCGCCTAAACCTACTGTCGAGTGGCAGATCAACGGTAAAGTCGTCCATCCTTCGGACAGGGTCGACATACAACTGCTGCACAACAGGGTCATACTGGACATTCCATTCTCCGTCCGCAGCGACGGAGGCGTTTATAAACTGACCCTCAAGAACGACCTCGGAGTCTGCTCGGCGACTGCGCAAGTCACAGTGCTGGACAAACCCTCGAGACCGGAGAAGCCGTTGACCGTTTCCGATATCACGAAAGACTCTTGCTCGTTATCGTGGAGAGTGCCTCTGGACGACGGAGGTTCGCCGATCTTACATTACGTCATAGAAAAGATGGACCTGACCCGCGGCACTTGGTCGGACGCTGGAATGAGCACATTCCTGTCGCACCAGGTCACTAGATTAATTCACAAGAAAGAGTATTTGTTCAGAGTGAGCGCCGTGAATGCCATCGGACAATCTGAACCTCTTGAACTGGAGAGAGCTATCGTCGCCAAGAACGAATTCGACGAGCCCACCGCGCCTGGCAAACCTGAAGCCACAGACTGGAGCAAGAATCACGTCGACCTACAATGGGCTGCGCCTAAATCGGACGGAGGATCGCCGATTACTGGCTACATCATTCAGAAGAAAGAAAAGGGAAGCCCGTACTGGGTGAACGCTGTGCATGTACCACCCAGCAAGACCAAAGCCACCGTGCCCGACTTAACCGAGGGTCAAGATTACGAGTTCAGAGTGATCGCCGTCAATCAAGCCGGTCAGTCCGAGCCTAGCGAGCCCTCTGACGTCATCACCGCCAAGGACAGGTTCGTCGCACCCAAGATCCTTACTCCCCTCAAGGAGATCCGCATCAAGGCCGGTCTTATCTTCCACTTCGACGTGGACTTTATCGGGGAACCTACTCCCGAGGTCACANTAACCGAGGGTCAAGATTACGAGTTCAGAGTGATCGCCGTCAATCAAGCCGGTCAGTCCGAGCCTAGCGAGCCCTCTGACGTCATCACCGCCAAGGACAGGTTCGTCGCACCCAAGATCCTTACTCCCCTCAAGGAGATCCGCATCAAGGCCGGTCTTATCTTCCACTTCGACGTGGACTTTATCGGGGAACCTACTCCCGAGGTCACATGGACGTGTGACGGTAAACCTGTTGTAACTAACGAAAGAACAACGGTTACGTCTGTCGGCCACCACACCATTATCCACACGGTTAACTGCAAACGCTCCGAGGCTGGTACATACCATCTGAAATTGAAGAACGATTCCGGTACCGACGAAGGCTCCTTCGAATTGATAGTGCTCGATGTGCCGGGAGCTCCCCAGCCTCCGTTCACTTACGAGGAAATCACAGCACAATCGGTTACTTTGTCATGGAAACCTCCCAAAGATAATGGCGGCAGTGAACTCACAGCCTACGTCATTGAGAAACGAGACCTCAGTCACGGCGGCGGCTGGGTGCCGGCGGTCACGTACGTCAACCCGAAGTACAACCACGCTACTGTCCCCAGGCTCTCGGAGGGCACACAGTACGAGTTCAGAGTATTCGCTGAAAACTTGCAAGGACGCTCCGAACCTTTGGTCACAGATAAGCCTATTGTCGCCAAAAACCAGTACACGGTGCCTGGTAAACCCGGGAAACCTGAGCTCGTCTCTGCAGACAAAGATCACATCAAGGTCAGATGGTCTTCGCCTATTTCGAACGGTGGATCTAACATTCTCGGCTATGATGTTGAAAGGAGAGACAAGGCCACTGGCCGCTGGATCAAACTAAACAAGGAACCCGTGAGGTTCAATGAATACCAAGACGATAGAGTGCAAGAAGGTCACCAGTATGAGTACAGAGTGTCCGCCGTTAATGCAGCAGGACCTGGACAACCTTCTGATGAATCTAACGTGTTCATCGCGAAGCCCATGAAGGAGAAACCCAAACTCTGGCTTGATCACCTGATCGGCAAGAAGATCAAGGTTCGCGCCGGTGAACCAATCAACATTAACATTCCAATCACCGGCGCTCCCACGCCGACCATCTCGTGGACTAAGGGCTCCGTTCCTCTTGTGCCATCGCACAGATTATCAGCTGAAACCAAGAACGATGAGACTAAACTGTCTATCGAGAAATCAACAAGAGAAGACGCCGGAAAATACACAATTTCCGCGTCTAACGCACACGGCAATGATTCAGCGGACATCGAAGTCATCGTCGTAGATAAACCGGGAGTACCGAAAGGTCCTCTCATGTGCAACCCCGTTACGCACGACGCCATCAGCCTCACGTGGCAGCCTCCCACCGACGACGGCGGCAGCGAGATCACCGGCTACGTCGTTGAAGTCGCCGAATTTGGTGTCAACGATTGGCGCACCGTGGCCGGATTCTGCCCTAAATGTTCGTTCACTGTGAAGAACTTAACCGAAGGCAAGAAGTACGTATTCAGAGTGCGCGCCGAGAATCTGTACGGCCTCTCCGATCCTCTGGAGAGCAAACCGATCATTGCCAAGTCGCCGTTCGATCCGCCCGACGCGCCGGACACGCCGAAGGTCACCGGGTACAGCTCGAACAGCTGCTCACTGGAATGGCACCCGCCCGCGAACTGTGGAGGCAAGCCTGTCACCGGGTACTATGTCGAAAAGAGGGAACGCGGTGGGGACTGGGTAAAGGTCAACAACTACCCCACTCCCAATACGTGCTATACCGTTTCGGACTTGCGGGAAGGAAACAAGTATGAGTTCCGTGTGATCGCCGTCAACGAGGCTGGACCCGGGAAACCGAGCAAGCCTACCGAGCCGATCACTGCTCAAACACAGCGACTCAAGCCTAGCGCTCCTGAAGCGCCGAAACCGGACAGAATCACTAAAGATTCCGTCACTTTATCCTGGAGACCACCTAAAAGCGACGGTGGAGCTAAGATTAAGGGCTACATCGTACAGCAAAAGGGCAAGGGTGACAAAGACTGGAAGGACGTCAATGACGTACCTATTCCGAGCCTCGTACATACTGTACCGAAACTCAAGGAAGGAGAAGAATACCAGTTCAGGGTTATCGCCGTTAACGAAGTCGGTAAATCGGAGCCAAGTAAACCTACCGCTGACATTACCATCGCCGAACAACCAAACAAGCCTTGTATGGACCTGGGCGGCGTCAGAGACATCACGGTGCGCGCCGGAGAAGACTTCTCCATTCACGTGCCGTACACTGGGTTCCCACAGCCGACCGCGCAATGGTTCGCTGACGACAACCTGCTCGATGTCGAAGGCGACTCGAGAATTTTCCAAAAGATTACACCCGACTCGGCATCTCTGGTCGTCAAGAACGCTAAGAGATCCGACGGAGGACAATACCGCCTGCAGCTGCGTAATCCCTCTGGATATGACACAGCCACGATTAACGTCAGAGTGTTGGACCGACCCGGAAAACCGGAGAACTTGCGCGCTGACGAATTCGAAGGCGAAGCTCTCACGCTGTACTGGAACCCACCGAAAGAGAACGGCGGCGGTGAAATTACCAACTACGTCGTCGAGAAACGCGAGGCGCGCACGCCGAACTGGACCAAGGTGTCCGGCTACGTCACGACTCCGTTCCTGCGCGTCAAAAACCTGACTGTCGGGAAGAGCTACGAGTTCAGAGTTATGGCCGAAAACCAGTACGGACAGTCGGACCCGGCGCAAACAACTGAACCGATCAGGGCCAGACATCCGTTCGACCCGCCCGGCCCGCCCGGCGTGCCGAAGTCGGTTGAAACCAGCGAAACTTCTATCACCATTACTTGGACCAAACCACGCCACGACGGCGGCTCCCCTATCACGGGTTACATAGTAGAGAAGCGTCTCATCACGGAGGATAAGTGGACCAAGGCATGCCACGCGCACGTGCCCGACACGACCTTGAAGGTTACCGGTTTGATCGAGAACCACGAGTACGAATTCCGTGTGTCCGCTGTGAACGCGGCGGGCCAGGGTCCCTGGTCGCAGAGCTCGGACGCCATCCGCGCGCGGGCGCCGCCCAACTCGCCGCGCATCACCAGCGACCTCAGCCTCAGGGACATCACTGTCATCGCCGGGGAGGAGATCAAGATCACCGTGCCCTTCACTGGCAACCCAAGACCTAAGGTGACAATTTTTTTTTTTATAGCTTAATGCTTAGATGGGTGGACGAGCTCACAGACCACTTGGTGTTAAGTGGTTACTGGAACCCATAGACATATACAATGTAAATGCGCCACCCTCTTGGTCACCCTTCTAAGGTCTCAAGTATGGTTTCAACGGCTTCCCCACCCTTCAAACCGAAACGCATTACTGCTTGACGGCAGAAACAGGCGGGGTAGTGGTACCTACCCGCGCGGACTCACAAGAGGTCCTACCACCAGTAATTACGCAAATTATAATTTTGCGGGTTTGACGGACGCTTTAATTCTGCAATTAAATTCAAACTTTGTGTAACTTATTTAAAAATACCTATATTCATTCTCACAGGTGTCATGGATAGTGAACAACGACGAAGTATTCCCGGACAATCGTATCCGCTTCGTGACGACGGACATCGACACAGTGTTCTACAACTCGTGCGCCAAGCGTACCGACACCGGCTCCTACACTATTCAACTGGTCAACAGCGAGGGCTCGGACAGCGCCACTTGCAGGGTGAGTGCTTTCTATGATGCTAGAGATATTCAACTAAACACACTGTACCGGTGGTCAGACGTGTTGCGAGTCCGCACGAGTAGCTACCACCACCCCGCCTATTTCTACCGTGAAGCAGTAATGCGTTTCGGTTTGAAGGGCGGGGCAGCCGTTGTAACCTGAATGAGACCTTAGAACTTGTATCTCAAGGTGGGTGGCGCATTTACGTTGTATATGTCTATGGGCTCCAGTAACCACTTAACACCAGGTGGGCTGTGAGCTCGTCCACCCATCTAAGCAATAAAAAAAAACAATTCCGTCTAACAGTTAACAGAAGATTATTTTGACAATTTGTTTTATTCAGGTACTCGTAGTTGACAAACCGACCCCGCCCGTGGGACCGCTGGACGCGTACGACATCACGCCCGACACGTGCACGTTGTCATGGAAACCGCCACTAGACGACGGCGGCTCTCCCATCACCAACTACGTCGTCGAGAAAATGGACAATAACGGAGTAAGTGCATCAAAAAATAAATGTTTATGTTTATTGGAACGAAGTTTTGGAAAGAAGTTCCTTACGGCAGGCTTGGAGGGGATAGGGATTTTGCTGCGCGACCGAACAGAAAAAAATGTGATAGTAAAACCGTAAGAAAAAATCCGTGGAAAAAAGTGCGTGAAATAAAACCGTTAAATGAGACGTGCGCAGGTGCGACAGTCGCATACACAAGCGAGTAGTGTATAATACCTTTCTCTTTCTCCCTCTTTCTTTTCGTTCTCTCATTCTCTTTCTATTTTATGTAATTTATTATTTCCTAAAATACTGAATTTCCTAAATACTTTCCTATACTTAAATAAAAACTAATCAGCAAAATTTAAGAGAAAAATCAAGAAAACCTACATAAAATTGAGCACGATTTTTTTTTTGCAAATTGTGTCGATTCTACATTAGCCGAAGGAACTTCGTTCCTACCTGGTGTCCCACGACACCACATCTTTTATTTTTTNGTAATTTATTATTTCCTAAAATACTGAATTTCCTAAATACTTTCCTATACTTAAATAAAAACTAATCAGCAAAATTTAAGAGAAAAATCAAGAAAACCTACATAAAATTGAGCACGATTTTTTTTTTGCAAATTGTGTCGATTCTACATTAGCCGAAGGAACTTCGTTCCTACCTGGTGTCCCACGACACCACATCTTTTATTTTTTTTATTATTATTATGACAAAAAAATAACCAATTCTTGATCAAGCTTCCATTATCATAAAAATATAAACATGCAGTTTCTGGGTTACCGGGAAATTAAGATAGGTTCGCGCATGCGCACATTTGCAGTCACACCGGGAGAGAATCGGGTACTTTTGTCCCGCATGCCAGGGACTAAAAGCGAACTTTTCATCCCGGGGGGGAAAAAATACAATTATTGTAATCGAGCTTTACTAAACTGTACACTTATCAACAGATCTGGACGAAAATATCATCGTTCGTTCGCAACTGTCACTACAACGTCATGGGCCTGGAACCGAACAGGAAATACTTGTTCAGGGTACGCGCCGAAAATCAATATGGCGTATCGGAACCTTTGACAATGGACGACTCTATTACGGCCAAGGTAATTAATTATTAGCACAATGCTATAATTTAGGATGGGAGGGTAGGAGAACATACAATACAATACAATACACACAAAAACTCAATCAAATAATTATGATGAAGAGTTTGACGAGCGAACTAACCCATAAACACAGCCTACTGAGTTTCTCGCCGGATCTTCTCAGTGGGTCGTGATTCTGGTCCAATGGTAGATTCAGCGAAACACAGCTCTTGCTAGGGTTAGTTTTAGCAAATTCTCTTAGATGAGAGAAGCTGAAATAGTCTTTTACGCTATCAGCGAATAGGTGGGGGAAAAAATTGCACTGCAAGAGTGTTTTTTTTTTATTGCTTAGATAGGTGGACGAGCTCACAGCCCACCTGGTATTAAGTGGTTACTGGAACCCATATACATTTACAACGTAAATGCGCCACCCATCTTGAGATATAAGTCCTAAGGTCTACAAGTATAGTTACAACGACTGCCCCACCCTTCAAACCGAAACGCATTACTACTTCATGGCAGAAATAGGCAGGGTGGTGGTACCTACTCGCGCAGACTCACAATAGGTCCTGATACCAGTGTAAAGTAACTTCGTGACCTATTAGACCTACATTCAAAGCAAACTAAACTCTAAAGTAAAAAAATACTAACTACCCACATAAAGAACAGATTCACTTGACAAACATTTAACAGCAGTGTCAATTAATAGAGACAATTTACGGTCCTAATTACAGTTCCCGTTCACGATCCCCGAGCCGCCGGGAGCGCCGCGCGTCACGGACTGGGACGGCTCCACGGCGACCGTGCTGTGGGACCGGCCGCGCTCGGACGGCGGCTCCCGCATCCAGGGCTACAAGATCGAGTACAGGGACGTGCAGGACGGAGTCTGGAACAGCGCTGACTATCTCGTTAAGGATTGTAATTACCAGGTGATTGTTTGCTGGATTGTTGAATTAATCTATATTCAAATACTAACTGACCCGGCAGACTTCGTAGTGCCTCAATCGATAAATAAAAGACCTAAATGTTTGTATAAAATAAACTTAAAACAAACAAAAGGAATCCGTCCGACGGGGCGGACATCAAAGGAAAAACAAAATTGTTATTTTTTATTTAATTCCGAGTATTTTGTTTATTTATCTACCTCTTAAGCCTTCTCTGGACTTCAACAAAGAATTCAAGACCAAAATTACAGGAAACTTCCACAAATAATTCAAGACCAACATTTTTTTGTACTGTACAGGCGTACAACTTGGAGCCGGGCCACGAGTACGAGTTCCGCGTGCGCGCCAAGAACGCGGCCGGCTTCAGCAAGTACTCGGGCTCGTCGCAGCGGTTCCGCGTGCGGGCGCGCTGCGGGCCCCCCGCGCCCCCCACCGCGCCGCGCGTGCTGCGCGTCGGCAGGAACTACGTCGACCTCAGCTGGGACCCGCCCAAGCACGACGGAGGTACGGCGCTGTCACGTCGCTCCGCCTTACTATCACCATAGTTTGCTATTGATGAACGTATTTCGTACACAGCCCACCTGGTGTTAAGTGGTTACTGGAGCCCATAGACTAGACGTCTACAGCGTAAATGCGTCACCCATCTTGAGATATAAGATCTCAGTATAGTTACAACAGCTGCCCCACCCTTCAAACCGAAACGTATTACTGCTTCACGGCAAAAATAGGCGGGGTGGTGATACCTACCAGCGCGGACTCCCAAGAGATCCTACCACCAGTAAAACTATTTGTTAGAATTATAATAGTTTTCTATTACAGTCATATAGTACAGGTGAGGATTGCGAATGAAACTGTTTAAGTTAAGAAAATACTTCTACCCTCACTAATTACAATTACCTTGTTCTTGAATTATTCCTAATTCCTGCTAGACACTACTTTGTAGTTCTCCTGAGGATCATTGCTTTGTTCTCTCCTGAAGGGTAGAGTAGCGTAATTTCTATTGCGACTTCTATGACTTTATTCTACCTACCCACGCGGACTCACAAGAGTTCCTACCACCAGTAAATATGCGATATCTCCTTAACTGAACGATCATAGACGTATCCTATTCTATTACCATTTTTTATAAAAAATCGTACTTTTGACATTTCTAAAATTTAATGGTAGTGAATAGAAAATGCAGTGTGGTGTGACATCCATGGGTTCTCATCATAGAAGTATCCACATAGCGTAATAAAACGTTCACACCCGAATCTAAGACCGGTACACATGTCGTGGTCAGGTTCTCGCGTGACCGGCTACGTGATCGAGCGGCGCGACGTGGGCAGCTCGGTGTGGGTGAAGTGCAACGACTACAACGTGCAGGACACGACCTTCACCGCGCTCAACCTCAACGAGAAGGCGGACTACGAGTTCCGCATCATCGCCGTCAACGCGGCGGGTGAGTCCGCCATATTGGATAATCGATAAATCGACTTTTGCATTTCTGAGTGCGAGAATTAAATCCAAATCTACACTAATATTATAAAGCTGAAGAGTTTGTTTGTTTGTTTGAACGCGCTAATCTCAGGAACTACTTGTCCCATTTGAAAAATTCTTTCAGTGTTAGATAGCCCATTTATCGATGAAGCCTATAGGCTATATAACATCACGCTTAGACCAATACAAGCTGAGCACCAATAAAGAATGTTTCAAAGTCGGGATTTTTCCCTTTTGAGAGCTTCCGCTGTGTGCGCTGCAGAAACGGTTAAAGTTTCGCTAAAATAATGTATGAAAGAATTGTTCCCCTTTAAAAGATCTAAAAAAAAAGTCCGCTAGAGCATATGTCTATATGTTAAGGTTGGCTCACCATAACCTTTTTTATGCTAACCAAATTTGTTCTAAAATAAAGCATTATTTGTGAACTATTCCACGCGGACGAAGTCGCGGGCAAAAGCTAGTATATATATATATTTGTTTCCACTCGAATATCAGGTAAATCCGAGCCTTCTTCGTGCACGACTCCCGTACGCACCGGCGAAGAGATCGGAGGAACGAAGCCGGAGTGGGTGAAGCAGCTGCCGGCCATCATGAGCGCCCCGCTCGGCCGCCCCTACACCCTGGAGTGCGTGGCGAGCGGGAACCCCGTGCCCACGGGTAGATGGCTCAAGAACGGCAGAGAAATCGTTCTTGGTACCAGGTATATTTGCCTTTCTTACATTTACTTTGTGTATTGAAGTGAAACTTCTAATGCGACTTCCAACACGGTGGCGTTAAATGTTTAACGCTACCATGGATTAGAAAGAGACAGAGCGAGAGTAAATGCGTGGCACTGCGCGTAGTACATCTGGTACACAGCGCGAACGTTGAAGGATGAACAATTAAGGAAACCACAATACTACACATCACAAAAGAAGTTTCACTTCATTCATGTGCACCAAGTTACACGCTCACCGTTTTTTTTTACTGAATTGCAGCAGACACTCGTCAATGAATGTGTGGAGGTAGTCATCACAAAACACCAGATATTTGACAAATACTTAATCTCGCTTAAGGATATTTCTCGTTAACCCTCCAAATAGGGTTTAATTAATTAAATAGTATGTAGTTTAAATAAGATGGATTTAAAAAAAAAATCGTTACTTTGTAAATATCCATGAATCTATTGTGTGAAAGTGACAATCGAATTTGATTATTCCGAATAACCGCTAAAAAAAGATTGTGTGGTTTTATGAAACCACGTTAAAAGTGTAACTTTTTTCACATTATAGATATTTAACTCTGACAAACAACATTTACATTAAACACTGACAAAAACAAAAACAAAATAGCGTGGAGCGAGTACTGGCACAAATGAGTAATAGTCTATACACTACACGGTCAGCTGCTACGAACTATAGCCTCCGCCATATTGGCCTTGACTGCTCTGACGAGCGCCTTTCGCTTTATCTCTCTCTCTCTACTCTGCAGCCGACCGTCACGCGACATGCAACACACAGACGAAAAAGTTTGAGTACTGAAATATAAAATATAAAAAATAAATAAATAGCTACTAAGAAGAAGAGAATTTAACATGAGCGTTCCTTTTATTTTCCCATAAAAATGTAACCGGCCGACGAAAGTAAAATAAAAACCTGATCCGAAGGAAGGTTGATCTAAACCTAGAAAGCACTATAGTAAACACTGACGTCATTGTTTCTCAGGCCGCTCTTTTTTTTTAAACATATAATGTCCCTGGCCCTGTATCGAGTACCTTTAAGTCAAATCTCATGTATTCTTGTTATATTCTATTAAAAGATAGAAAATGATATGGAGCTGATGATAAAACAAACTCTCAGTAAATTGGTGGTTATATCCTGAGACTTTTTCAGTGGACTTTTGATAGGAACCGAGAAGCTACGTCCGGTTATATCCTGAGACTTTTTCAGTGGACTTTTGATAGGAACCGAGAAGCTACGTCCGGTGGATTTTTTTTTATTTTTCCACAAACGTACACTTTCGCAGATATACAGATAATAAATGAAATTAAATTTAACAAAGTGAAAATATTTAAATTTCAGGTTCATATCAGAGTCTCGTGAGGGTACACTGAAGCTCAATATCCTGGAGGCCGCGGACGCCGACGAGGGTGACTATACTTGTGAGGCGGTTAATAACATTGGCTTCATCTACTGTACTGGTCACCTTAAGATTGGAAGTGAGTATACAGTTACCATAAGACAATAGACATGGTTATAAGTGTCTCTAAATGTCTCAATAGTACAAAAATTAAATTGTCTTTCTTAAAAGTTAAGAATATTGTTTTGCACGGACCAAGAATAATAACAAAATATATTTCTCAGGTCCACCACGGATCACCCGAATGCCTGGCGACCTTCACCTCCCCGAACACGACAACACCAAGATCAAGATCCTGTACACGGGAGACCAGCCCGCTGACGTCACGCTGTCCCGGGACGGACACAATCTCAAGGAGTCGCCGCATCTCAAGTTCACCGTATTCGATGATTACATACTTATATTCATCAAGGACATCACTAAGGACGATATGGGTCAGTTATTTTTGTATTTCTGGTAGTGACTTTTACTCTTAATTTTTTATTTTCGAAAAGGCATAATATTAAGCAGATGGAGTTACTACATAGTCAAACATTCTTAACAATCCAGATGAAAAATATTTTTTTTTTTTTTTTTTTTTTATTGCTTAGATGGGTGGATGAGCTCACAGCCCACCTGGCGTTAAGTGGCTACTGGAGCCCATAGACATCTACAACGTAAATGCACCACCCACCTTGAGATATAAGTTCTAAGGTCTCAGTATGGTTACAACGGCTGCCCCACCCTTCAAACCGAAACGTATTACTGTTTCACGGCAGAAATAGGCAGGGCGGTGATACCTATCCGCGCGGACTCACAAGAGGTCCTACCACCACTACTACTAGTATCTGAATGTGTACCAAATTTTTTATCTCAGGAATGTCTAAACACGTTATGAACTCTACGTTCTGTTTGTTCGTCTCCAGGCATATACAAAGTATCGATAAAGAACAACTCTGGCGAGACGTCGGACACGTTCTCCGTGACGGTGACGGGGCTGCCCGGCCCGCCACAGGGACCCCTCGAAGCGTCCGACATCTCCAAGCACTCCTGCACGCTGGCCTGGAAGCCTCCCACGTACGACGGAGGGATGCCCGTCACTCACTACGTCATCGAGCGTAACGACACCTCGGGAACGGCCTGGATCACCATCGCCTCCTCCGTCCGGGACACCAAGTTCATTGTCCAGGGACTCACCGAAGGACACGAGTACAACTTTAGAATTCACGCGGCGAACGAGAACGGTATCGGACCAGCTCTGGAAGGCCTCAATCCGATTAAGGTAAGTTTTGCTTTTTTTTTATTTATCCGATACGTATTGTTAAATTTTAAAATGTATAGTGATGATCGTAATCGATATAAAAATAATCTAGCGTATATGGTTAGACTCTCTGTTAATAGATGTCATTACAAAAATATTTTTAATTATTTTAATATCAATCAATTTCATTCGTAGGCTAAAGCACCATACGATCCGCCATCTGCTCCTGGTATTCCCAAGATCCTGGAGGTCGGAGGCGACTTCGTCCACTTGGAATGGGACAAACCAGAAAATGATGGAGGTGCTAGGATTCTAGGTACGTTACTATGTTCCCTCATATAATTCCTAAAGTTTTCTTCGCTCTTTGCCATAGAACCAATTTGTGCAAGAAGTCATAGTGGCTTAAAGGATTAGTCACCCTATGAACTTCCATAGATCGATGCGACTGTGGGAATATGTATTTAAGAAGTGTTCAGAATGACTTCCACGATGGAGGATTAACATTATGTGGTAAAAATGACACCTACTAAATTACAAATTTCAGGCTACTGGGTCGACAAGCGCGAAGTGGGCACATCGACGTGGCAGCGCGTGAACCCGACGCTGTGCCTGCCGAACCAGATCAACTGCTCCAACCTCATCGAGGGCCGCCAGTACGAGTTCCGCGTCGTCGCGCAGAACGAGGCCGGCGCGTCGCCGCCCAGCACCGCCAGCCAACAGGTCAAGGTCGTCGATCCCAAAGGTATGCAAATCTCTACTCTATTCTAACTACTTTAAAACTTTAATTGACTTGACAAATTTTCGTCGATAAAACCTTCAAGTTACGCTTTTCTCACTAAACGGGCTCGGCATAGCTAATATTTCTCTTTCATTCTTTTCTATCAGCTGCCACCTCAACACTCACTCCTCTCTCTCTCATATCCTTACTCTATCTGTGTCTTCTTCGGTCGACCTTTTCTCCCTCTGCCTTGCACTACCATTTCCATACATCTCCTAAAACAAGTCCCGTCAAGTTAGTCTCCTACAAATTAGTCCCGTCTAGTTAGTCTCCTACAAATTACGCTTTTTATCAAACTATGAAATGAAATCATTAGATGCGTATCTATAAAACAAAAATATCCGTTGGTATTCGGACACTAATATGTATTGATTAGTCGCCATCTTGCCGCATACCAGGGATTCGATTCTTCAATACAGCGTACTTTATTAGGTTTCACTAGACGATGACCGATCGGTATTTTTTTTTTGCTAAATTGAATTTTTAGAAATTATATTTTAATATGAATTTCATATTCATAAAATAATGAAATATTCCAAGATCGTTTAGGCATTTTTAAGTGGCTTCGGGTGGCTTAACAACGCCATCTGCTGAAATAGCTTTAGTGTTATTGTGTCTTTAAAGCAGTTAGTTGCTCTCAATTATGAAAAATAGTATTATTCGCCAATAGATGCCTGGAAGAGTCATAAAAAGAACACGTCCGCCCCCGAAATCCCCTGTATACTAAATTTTATGAAAATCGTTAGAGCCGTTTTCGAGATTCAGATTATATACAAGAATTGCTCGTTTAAAGGTATAAAATTGATCTGTACAAAAACGCGATTGCGAAGATGTATAAAATATTTAATTGAAATTTCGACGGTAGTTACAATATTTAAATAACGATGAATAGTTTAGTCGTACAAGACCACAAAAATTATACGAAAACATTGAAAATAATAAAACGCGAAATTAAACCGTAAAAATAGTTATAATTAGGTTCACTTTTTAATGAACACTGCATTGGTCAAACATTAAAACTACACTATAATCTTGATTGTCGTTGCCAGCCGCCACGCCACCAGAGATAGTGAAGCCACTGAAGAACGCCAACTGCATCCAGTACCACAACGCCAAGTTCCAGTGCACCATCACCGGGTCACCCAGACCCACCATCACTTGGTACAAGGGTGAGTAATACTTACTCTAGTCAACTGGTTCTTTGTATCAAACGTGAACAGTGTTCGTCATGAACATACGATATAGCATCATATAACAGAGCTATGTGTATATCGTTTCATAACTATTAATAAATAATATTTATATTAATGTAAATTGCGCATGTTGGTTAACGTTTATATATTCCAGAACCAATGTAGTTCTTTATGACAATTACGATGATATGCTATAATTTGCTGGTGGTAGGACCTCTTGTGAGTCCGCGCGGGTAGGTACCACCGCCCTGCCTATTTCTGCCGTGAAGCAATAATGCGTTTCGGTTTGAAGGGTAGAGCAGCCGTTGTAACTGAGATCTTAGACCTCATATCTCAAGGTGGGTGGCGCATTTACGTTGTAGATGTCTATGGGCTCCAGTAACCATTTAACACCAGGTGGGCTGTGGGCTCGTCCAACCATCTAGGCAATAAAAAAAAACAGATTTTTCACGAGCAACACCTTATTGTACAGCCCTTTTTTTTAAACTAAAATGTCCATACTGTTGCCAGTAATCCTGAAGTACATTTAGATCGTTACAAAGGTATTTGTCTCGGCTAGGTGCTCGTGAGATAACGAACGGACCGCGGTACCGCATCTGGAGCGAGGGCGACAACCACTACCTGACCGTCAACGACGTGTTCGGCGAGGACGCCGATGAATACGTCTGCAGGGCCGTCAACAAGGCAGGAGTCAAGAGCACCAGGGCTGAACTACTTATTATGAGTGAGTTACAGTATCTTCTAAGTTATTTTATTTTTCGTAATAACGAAATAACACTTTTTTAAACATATTATTATCCGCAACACGCTTCGTCAGATTATAGAAACAGAGTTATCGGCAACATGCTTCGTCAAAAAGTACAATACTTACTTTCAGCTGCAAGCGTCGTCATATAAAATAATTTAAGTCCCAAATATCATCTAAGGACGTGACTTGTAAGTGAGGTCACAAATGAAAATCGATAACTTAACTCGTGTATTATATTGTATTGCGAACGCTGTTTTGAAGAATATTCAGTATCAAAATTATTATTATGGTCATTCAAAATATAAACATCATAAATGTACCATTAGTGGAATTAATAAATGCGTTAAAATTAATGAAGAATATGAGTTCTCTATCTTGATACTGATGAAGGTGCAAACAGTGCTTAATAGCATAGCCGGTCACCGTCCTCCACCGTCCTCCTCAATTAACCCATAGACACAGCCCACCGAGTTTCTCGCCGGATCTTCTCAGTGGGTCGCGTTTCCGATCCGGTGGTAGATTCTGCGAAGCACTGCTCTTGCTAGGGCCAGTGCTAGCAATACTCCAGTTTGAGCCCCGTGAGCTCACTTACACACGTTAGGGTGAAGCTGAAATAGCCTCTCAAGGCTATCAGCATAGGTAGGAAAAAAATTAGCATAATCTAAGTTTTAATTACCCTCAAAATTTAAATCATACTCAAATATTAAATTGTTATTAAATCTAACAGCCGCCCCGAAACTGAACGTGCCACCTCGGTTCCGCGTCACCGCCTACTTCGACAAGGGCGAGAACGTAGTCGTCAAGATTCCCTTCACCGGTCACCCAATACCCAAAATCACTTGGGTTCGAGAGGGAGAGACCATCGAGTCTGGACTCCACTACCACGTGGAGAGGAAAGGTATACCTTGTCTTGTGCCACTCTATGTTCAACATTCGTCCCATCAATTCACATCTTGTCAGGACACTCCAAATATGTAACGCACTGTTATTTCGGCCTTTCTCATATACTGCTCACCAGCTGAATATTGTGAAGTATTCCAGATGTCTGTATGTATACTAATGTTAAAATTACATGATTGACTTAGGTACACTTAGTGAAGAACATAGTAAACCATTTGAAGAAATTCTCAAGTTTCTAGAAAAAGAATCGGAAGCGATTTGGGTTGAGACTATACGCTAAGTGAGTGCATATCACGCACTAAGACGGGCTCACCTTTAACGTCCTGTACGATTGAGATATCATCAGTCAACATGTCAATTGTTAAGAAACAATACCCTAGTTCGGCTGTCAAGTACACACACATGCTATTTAGAAAACAAAGTTTTTTAAAAACTATGTAGGAGTGTACATTTATTCTCTATCCGTTTGTAAACCGTTGATGGGATTGCGATGCATCTCGGGGTAGTTGTAGGCACTGCGGATGACTGTCAGACTACTACCAGCGGATGACAGGTGGCGCTAGTAGTCCTGTAGTATATTGATACTTTTAATATCAATAGAATAAACTATGAATTATGAGGACCGAATAACAAATGTCGAATAATTTCAGAACGTCACGCCATCCTGACCATCCGCGACGCGAGCAAGATCGACTCTGGTCCTTACAGGATCACGGCAGAGAATGAGCTGGGACAGGACACGGCCATCATCAACATCGAGATCAGCGGTCAGTTGCAGAAGACACCAGAGATTTTTTTTTTATTGCCCTTGTAGACCGACGAGCATACGGCCCACCTGATGGTGGGTGGTTACCGTCGCCCATGGACTTCAGCAATGCTAAGGGGCAGAGTCAAGCCGCTGCCTACCGAATTCTCTCTTGCTTAACGATTTTTACGAGAATAACTGCTGTGTGGACATTTGAACACCATTACAATCTGAATACAATGGACTAGAGATATGCGGTCGAATTTTCGTATTTTCTTTTACATGCCAACTTATTAATGTACAAAAATAAGCAGGATGGTTCAATTTATTATACCAAATTGGTACAAATTAATGGAGATTGTGGGGCAATTTAACATGATGTTGGCATCACTCTAGGGCCTCAGCGGAGGACGGTCTACTTCCTTTAAAAAAAAAAAAACTTGATTTCAATTTTTTACCTAAAAATATTTTAGCTCTATGAAATCGATAAAACATCACTACACATATAAAATTAAAATCTAATATCACATTCACTATGAATTAGATCGGCCGGACCCACCGCGCTTCCCAGCGGTGGACAGCATCGGCGTGGACTCGCTGGCGCTGAGCTGGCGCGCCCCGGTGTGGGACGGCGGCTCCGACATCACCAACTACCTGGTCGAGAAGCGAGAGCACCCCATGACCAGCTGGATCAGGGTCGGGAATACCAGGTGCTGTACCGCCCCCGCAATCATTTGTTTTACATTGCGCGTTCAGTTGTATTATAAATCTAACTAACGACGCGCCCTCACTTCGCTTCGGAAACTGTAATTTATTATTGATTTCTCCACTATTTAATGGATGTTATTATACATATAAACCTTCCTCTTCAATCACTCTATCTATTAAAAAAAACCGCATCAAAATCCGTTGCGTAGTTTTAAAGATTTAAGCATACATAAGGATATAGGGACCGAGAAAGCGACTTTGTTTTATACTATGTAGTGATATTGCAGAAATAACAAGATTCACTCACCTCTCAATTTCAATAACCTTAAACCTATACTGACGCAGCTTGTTACATAAAAGGGGACGGCCCATTTCAGGCCCAAAGCGGACAATAGATTAGAGAAAAAATACTTAGTGCATTAATTTTGTCATAAATAAATATGCTTTTACTTTCTTCCAAATAAGCGCCACTACAGTTTACAATAAGTAGTTTAAAAAAAGTAACTCTATTGAAAAAAACCAGAATTTTATTTTTGCGGGAAAAATATTGCCAACTTCAAAACCTTTTACGTATTAAGTAAACATTTTAAGTATATAAAAAAACATATAAATAAATCATTTTAAATATTATCATTAATCAATCGATTTTAATCGATTTTAAGCACATAAAATAACATCAAAGACATACCCATTGGACTTTAACTTGTTACTATACTTGAGACCTTAGAACTTATATCTCAAGGTGGGTGGCGCATTTACGTTGTGGATGTTTGTGGGCTCCAGTAACCACTTAACACCAGGGTGGCTGTGAGATCGTCCACCCATCTAAGCAATAAAAAAAAACTTAACTTGTATTGTTATTTAAATATGTACAACTAAAACAAAAACATAAAAAATAAAATATAATGTGTACTCGTAAAAAAAAGATTAAGAAATAAATCCAATATCGGTTATTTAAAAAAATGATCGATATATGAATTTCATGTAATTATTTTTCTTTATACTGACAACACTGATTTTAATCTGACTGACTGACACTTCGCTTGCTGCTTGTGCTTGCGTTCAAAATGGATGTGTTTTGATTTTTCTTCGATTTATTTTGCTTTTATCAATAACGTTTCATACTACGGCTGAAAACCATTGTGTGAATTGTGGTTTTAACCTGACCGAGATTTAAAACCGTGTATATGCTCTCCTGTGCTATTTTTAGATGATTTACTAATTGTGTATGAAGATGAAGAAAATATAGAATAATATAGATATTTAAAGAAGTATGTGTGTTTTTTATACCCTAATAACTACAATTGGATAAAAATACATTAGGAACATCTTAAACATTAAAAAAAGAAAAGTTCTTGAGGTATTTATATAGAAAATTAACCTCAAAACGAGTTTTTTATTTTTATTATATTTTTTATAATAGTGGCGTCAATTTCAATATATTTTTTAGATATCTAATACATTTAAGAATTTGAATCAGTCCATTTTTATAGTAATATTTAATGTCCACCTTGGGCCTAGCACACTATGGAGAGTGGGCAATCCCCTTTCTGTATACTGTCAATACATTACTTACAATACAGTACAATAATATACATTTAATGTATATTAAAGAACAATTTATTGTATTTAAGTACACCAAAATAACAAAGTATAATTTTGTGGGAAAAATTGAATTTAAATTACCATCGATCTCTTCCGGTCGACCTTTGGATGGAGGTGATTGAGGAAATTAGAAAGTTCGGCGTAATGCAATGACGATAATATAATTACTATCCACCATTCGTTACTCGCCAATTATATTATATAGAACCGCATCATGAAAATTCACAAAAAAAGGTATATATTTGTCGCAGAAGCCACAATTATTAACACCATCGTCAGATATCGTAGAGGCGAATAGGGTGATCGAGCTAAGAGAAATATTGAGTACACCGTCTACGGTGGTTTTTACGGATGTTCCGTTATAACTACTGAACCATGCATCCGATTGACTTGGAACTTGGTATCCGTGTAGAAAATACATGTGCTTAATGGATAGGCTTAATATTTATATGAGTGTTGGACTCCCTACACCAGTTGCGGGGGCGTTAATGATGAGAATCTTTGTGGGGTGAGAAATAATAATGCTAATTTTAAATGCCCAGTGAAGCGGACGGGTACAGCTAATCGAATACTAATATTGTTTATTGTGCAGGTTCACGACAATGGCTATAACCGGTCTGGTCCCGGGCAAGCAGTACGAGTTCAGGGTCTACGCTGAGAACATATACGGCCGGTCGGACCCCAGCGAGCCCACCTCGCTCGTGCAGACCAAGGCGATCGTTAAAAAGGAACTCAAGAAGAAGGAATACCCGGGTAAGCTTTTGTTCGCAACTCATGTTTTCAAAGCTCGACTTTTAGAACGCATGTTTCTGCCGTGAAGCAGTAATGCGTTTCTGTTTGAAGGGTGGGACTGAGACCTTAGAATTCATGGTGGGTGGCGCATTTACGTTGTAGATGTCTATGGGCTCCAGTAACCACTTAACTCGTCCACCCATCTAAGCAAAAAAAAAAAGTTGCGAATAAAGTTTGTTTTCGCGGCGTATATTAATGTCGCATTGTGATTAGTAACAAAACGACATTACGCTACTGGATTGAACAATTTGTAATTATAATGACGGTTTTGTCTTAATTGCTTGTTTGTTTGGTTAAATCTTAGAGAAACCCGAGGCTACGTGCTATCGTACCCCAAGAAATATCTCTCCTATGATCTCCCTTTCCGTAAGGTGGTAGAGTCAACCTTTTCTCCAGCTCTCGTCGACTTAGCTGTGTCTTTCACATCATCAAAGTCTTACACAACGTCGTGTATTTTTATACCGCCCACCCGGTGTTAAGTTACCGGAGCCTCTAGACATCAAAAACGTAAATGCCGCCACCTATCTTGAGACATTAGTTTTTAGTCTCAGTTTTATAGTGTCACGGGTTCCCCACCCTTCACACTGAAAGGCTTTACTGCTTCACGATGGTGGTACGTACGGAGTCAAGAGACGCCCTACCACCAATATAAGTAGTATTAAAATCTGCATGATATTCAGATTCCATATTACAGAGATTTCCTCGACTAGATATATCATATAATAAAAGCTTTTTTTTGTTCAGTGGACGAATCAGGCAAACGCATCCGCACGAACGCAGACCACGGCCCCGTCAAGGACTACGATAGCTACGTGTTCGACATCTACAGCAAGTACNAAGAGACGCCCTACCACCAATATAAGTAGTATTAAAATCTGCATGATATTCAGATTCCATATTACAGAGATTTCCTCGACTAGATATATCATATAATAAAAGCTTTTTTTTGTTCAGTGGACGAATCAGGCAAACGCATCCGCACGAACGCAGACCACGGCCCCGTCAAGGACTACGATAGCTACGTGTTCGACATCTACAGCAAGTACGTGCCGCAGCCCGTGGACATCAACACGTGCTCGGTTTACGACAAATACGACATACTAGAAGAGATTGGTGAGTCCTACTCGGGTTTGTTCAGTGAAATCTACTGTCTATGGTTTAGCGTGTATTGTTGTATCTGAGTATTTATACATCGAGTCTAAGGGAGGATAGAAGAAACAACGCATCGTAGTGATATTATAATTATTTATATTTGAACACTCCACATGTATACACTGTTTGAGAAATTGTGAAACAAAATAGTGTAGGGCAGTACTTAGAATTATTCCAGATCGTTTTTTAAATCGATTGTAACTATCGATGATTTTTTCGATAAATGCGCATGCTATTATCGATTTAAAACTAAACCGCACTCATGAAGTTGCTTGTGAGATTTAAGTGATTTTTTTTACATACCATTAACATAGTATTTACTAACATAATGCAGAATAGAACGTTGAACTCTATTCGAAGTGTACATAGAGTTGAATTTCGCAGGTGACTTCGTGAAGGCGACCGGTAAAAGGAATCGAAGCGGAGGTCTGTGTGTGAATAGATCGATGTAGTGCATCTCTCTATCTGCATCTCTCTCTCACACGCACACTATTATATATTTACTTAATGCAATTTTTTGTTTCTTTCAAATATTGAGCATGCGCTATGAACTTAGATACATGTGTTACTGAGATTAGGGTTATTGGAAAACTTAATATCGATTTAGTCTACAAATACGTATTATTAGTGGTATATTTTTTTTAAACAAACCCAAAATTAGTTAAATTGAAATTATTAATTAAAGAGTATTTTATTATTTGTTTACGTCCATAAAATTTAATACACGAACACGAACACACATACACAAAAAAAAGACATTTTACATACATTCTTTAAACAAAAAACACTTTCCAGTGACCCTAGGATACAATGATAATAATAAGTTCACTTAAAGGACATTTTCTTGTAGGTAGTTAAATGCACGGTTTTGCGGCTTCATATTATCATATATTATTATGTATTTTACGTACAATGAACGTTATATACTTAACGAGAATGCGCTCTATTAGATGTTTTCTTTATTAGTACGAAGCTACATAGTTTTTTTTTAAATAAAAAATAACGTGAATGCCTTATGTCCTGGGTTTGGACTAGCGCTTGACGATTTTGAAACGTATTAGCGAGTAATAAGATTCAAATGAGTCACCTATTAATATTAGGCCATTATTTTAAAATCGAATTTATGAATTTTCAACAAAATTACCTATATATAGACCTGGACTGTGACAGCCCTAGTAGACCCGAATTTACGAATTTTCAACAAAAATACTTACATATAGATGTGGACTGTGACAGCCCTAGATACGAATTTACAAATTTTCAACCAAAATACCTATATATAGAACTGGACTGTGACAGCCCTAGTCCGGTCTCGCTGTCCCGGCACAGACGCATGAGGTGCACCGCACTGTTGTAGGCACAGGCGCGTTCGGCGTGGTGCACCGCTGCCGCGAGCGCGCCACCGGCAACATCTTCGCGGCCAAGTTCATCCCGGTCGCCGGGGCCATGGAGAAGGAGCTCATCAAGAAGGAAATCGACATCATGAACCAGCTGCACCACAGGAAGCTGATCAACTTGCACGACGCCTTCGAGGACGATGACGAGATGGTGCTCATATTCGAGTTGTGAGTTTTCTTTTTTCGGTATCTATATGGTCGCAATATTTATTATTTTATTGCTAAGATGGGTGGACGAGCTCACAGCCCACCTGATGTTTGGGGGTTACTGGAGCTCATAGACAACTACAACGTAAATGCGTCACCCGCCTTGAGATATAAGTTCTAAGGTCTCAGTATAGTTACAATGGCTGCTCCGCCCTTCAAACCGAAACGCATTATTACTGCTTCACGGCAGAAATAAGCAGGGCGGTGGTAAGTACCCGCGCGGACTCACAAGAGGTCCTACGACCAGTTTTCGAAAGTATTTTTTAGCTCATCTGACTGCCTTTTATCCGTTATACAAAAATAAAGCTTTTTTAAAATTTAACCAGCACGACATTTCTTTGGCTCTAAACAATAAAACTATAAATGCTAATTTTGCTCGCAGCCTGTCCGGCGGCGAGTTGTTCGAGCGCATAACGGAGCCCGGCTACAACATGAGTGAGGCGGAGGCCGCGCACTACATGAGGCAGATCTGCGAGGGCGTGAGGCACATGCACGAGCAGAACATCATACACCTCGACCTCAAGCCCGAGAACGTCATGTGCCAGACCAGGACCGGAACCGACGTTAAGGTCCGTTAAAATCCAGGGGGATTGAGACTCAAAATATATTACTAGACTATCCTAATAATGAAAGGAACATTAGTACAACTTCTTTGTGTGATTAATTAAATAAATTTTTGGTTTAATAAATAAAAAATACGCTATATATAACTAACCTAGTAATGAAAGGAATAGTAGTATAGCTTCTTAGTGTGATTCATTAAAAAAATTTTTGGTTAATAAATAAGAAATTCGCTATATACAACTAACCTAGTAATGAAAGGAATAGTAGTATGGCTTCTTTGCTTGATTCATTAAATGAATTTATGGTTAATAAATAAAATATACGTTATATGTAACTAACCTAGCAATGAAAGGAATAGTAGTATAGCTTCTTCATTTGATTCATTAAATATTTTTTTGGTTAATAAATAAAAAATACGCTAGATATAATTACTCATGTCATCATCATCTGGGTCTTGGATGACAGCTCTTCAGATGTAGCTATTTCAAATTATCATGTGACTAAATTACCTTTTGAAACATTAACAGATCATCGACTTCGGATTAGCGACGAAGCTGGACCCGAACGAAGTGGTGAAGATCTCGACTGGAACCGCAGAGTTCGCCGCTCCGGAGATCGTAGAGAGGGAACCGGTCGGCTTCTACACGGACATGTGGGCCGTGGGAGTACTGGCCTATGTGCTGTAAGTAGTCTTGTTGACAATGTATTCAGCTCACAAAGAAAAATAAAGTATAACACTCCTTTAATTATTATTTTTTAAGAGATTTTATGACCTGGTAACCTAGACCTTTAAGTCATATCTTATTTTAATTTATATTCATTTTTCTATGAAAAATGATAATATGGAGTGAAATGAGATAATATGGGATGAAATATAATCTCAGTAAAATGGTGTTCGTTTACTGAGATTTTTTCAGTGGACTTTTTGGAGGATCTCTAAAAGTTACGTCCAGCGGCTTTGCTTAATTTTGTCACATTTGTGCACTTTCACATATTAAACAGTTAATAAACCACCATTATTACACATTTAAACCTGACGAAATACTAAACAAACAAAATAAAACAAATCACACAATATCACTCCTCTTCATTCACCCACTTTCATTAATAGATTATCCGGACTGTCGCCATTCGCCGGCAACAACGACATTGACACGCTCAAAAACGTGAAGGCTTGCGACTGGGAGTTCGACGAGGAAGCCTTCCAGCACGTCTCCGACGACGCCAAGGACTTCATCAGGAGGCTACTCATTAAGAACAAGGAGTACGTATAGTTAATACTGCTCATTAGTCTGCGTGTAGTGATCGTGGCACGGGTTCGCGTTGTATGCTTAACTTAACGTTCTTCAAGTGGTCTAGTCTTTGTCTTGTCTAAGAACCTCCAGCTGGTCTCTGTTAATTTAACCCTGGATTAAATATGTTGTCAGTTACCTGTAAGTAATATGTTGCTACGTTCGTGTCGTTTTTGAAGTTTCCCCTTACTACTACAATATCGTCCATGTATACTTTTACTTCTAAATAATCAATCTTAACGGAGGTCCATGTGAGTGTATAATTTTCTTTTTATATTTTATCAATTTTGAGGTCCACAAATAATCGATTATTGTTTTTTTTTTCTAGTATAATTTGGTTTTTATAATATTTGCGAACTTAGTTTCGTATTGTTTTTTATACTTTGGCTACATCTATAGTAAAGATTTCCGAATGAGCGTAAATTTTTTTGTTCCTTTATAGAAGCTACGTTATGACCAGTTGATTTTGATGCACCATCAAGACTTAGGGATTTATTTAAATAGTTAAATTTACTTAATTAATTTCGTTGCTATTATAGAAAACGTATGACCGCCCACGAGTGCTTGGTTCACAAGTGGCTGGCCGGAGATGCAGCCTCGAGTCGCACCGCCACCATCGAGGCGAGGAGATACGAAGCCATGAGGAACAGGCTCCGGGAGAGATACGAGGTGGGACCGATAAACTGCTCGCGTTCTCGCGTCAGCGTATTCTTGAAACATCAGCAATCCCTAAAACACTGATAAGCTTTTGACTAAAATGATACAGATACTTCGAATGTACTGAATTTTAAATCTCAATAGTTTTCGACTAATACCAATAAATTTACGTATTTAAAATCCAAGATCATCTTACATGATTTATGGTTACAGAACAGATATCCATGTATACAGGATTATGGTTTAATAAATAAATAGCCGTACTCGCCTGCTTCGCTGGGCATTTAAAATTAACATTTTTAGTTATTGTCATTATTATTAGGAAGTCCAACACTCATAAAAATATTAGCCTATCCATTAAGTACATGTATTTTCTACATGGATACCAAGTTTCAAGTCAATCGGATGCATGGTTCAGTAGTTATAACGGAACATTTGTAAAAACCACTGTAGATTTTTATATTAGTATAGAGTATAGATAATATCCTATAGGTGTTCAGGTTAACGAATTATTAGTAACAGTAGATATTTTACTGGCACTGCCATTTAAATAATTCACTATGCACCGGGGTAAACTGGTACAGAAGACCCATTTGTGTGTTAGTCGAAACTTTGACGCCATGACTCGAGGCGTACTCGGAGTCTAGTGAAGTTGACTACCACACATAGTAACAAATAATTATCGAGATTCTAATTCGATATAAAAACTTTTCGTTTGTAGAACTGGTCGTCATTCAAGCTGCCGATCGGCAGACTCAGCGAGTACAGCTCGCTCAGGAAACTCCTCATCGAGAAATGGAAGATATACGACGGACAGTTCGGTGAGCTAACCCTAGATCGATTTCGGAATTAGCTTATTCTTAAAAGAGAGAAAAAAAACATGACGTCATTTGTGTGGTCCGAAGCGATTATTGTCGTGGTTAATATAACGAACATAATTTGTTTATTTGGGAAACAAACAGTACAATACAAGCATATCATATTTTTAAAAAATAGCTATAACAAAAACCAAATATGTTTCCACAATCAAAATGACATATAAGTAGAAAGTGAACGGAGAAGAGAAATTTAGAAATTTGAGTTACAAAAAAAACAAAAGCAACACAATACGGACATATTATTTTGTACATCAACTTACACTATAAGACTATAATACTCATCGGTCTAAATCACCTTATAAATATATATATTACCCTTATAATACCTGCTATATTTTTATATTTTCCAGAATTTCTGTAAATTAGACCGCCTATTGTACAAATGTATCAGCTTTTTGACCGTTTGAATGTAAATTGTGTTGATGTGCAATAAAGTGTATTCTCTCTCTCTCTCTCTCTCTCTCTCTCTCTCTAAATATTTTAAAATAGCTTTTCCAACTTAAACATGTCTGTTGACGCTTCTAATGAACAATGGAGCTTGTGAGTGCGGCACTAAGGTCGGTTATCGCTCGGCAGACCGTCGGCAGGCGGCGCCGCGCTTCGTGATCAAGCCGCAGTCTGCGTTCTGCTACGAGGGCCAGTCCGTGAAGCTGTACTGCCGCATCATCGCGTGCGCCACGCCCACCGTCACCTGGTCCCGGAACAACCACGAGCTGCGCCAGTCCGTCAAGTTCATGAAGAGGTACGTCACGAGCTATTTTTTTTTACTTAGACGGGGGACCAGCACACCTTGTGTTAATTGTTCACTGGAGCCCATAGACATCTACAACGTAGATGCGCCACCTACCTTAAAATATCAGTTTTAAGGTCTCAGTATTAGTTACAACGGCTGCCCCGCCCTTCAAACCGAAACGCATTACTGCTTCACGGCAGAAATAGGCGGGGCGGTGGTACCTACCCGTGCGGACTCGTAAGAGATCCTACCACCAGTAACCAGTTTCATTCAGAGGTACATCAGTTTCATCCGTCATACCGAAACGTATGACATTCTTAGCAAAAGTTGACAAAGGCCCAGGTTTGTTACATGCCTTATCACCAACAATTCGCCATCAGATAAAGGCCCTTTGATGTTTCTTGGTCCTGATAACGTTGTTGTCAACAGATACGCCGGCGACGATTATTACTTCATCATAAACCGCGCCAAGCTGGAGGATCGCGGCGAGTACATCATCAGGGCGGAGAACCACTACGGCTTCAGGGAGGAAGTGGTATTCCTGAATGTGCAACGTGAGTATCTCTGTGACGTACCGACACATCGAATTCTTCTGTTTATAAATGTCCATTGACCATATCGTCAACTATTGATTCTCTCTCTTCACATATTGACGCGTGTTAAGATTACTCTCGGTTGCCAAGACCCTAGTCATGTCAACGTACACCGTCGCTTTAGATTTCGTGTATATACACGTATATACAGACGATCGCTTTTTCGCAATGATCATTTTAGAAGAATTAAGAGCTCTTCCAGAAACACCACTGCTAATTTTGAAAAGATTAAAAGATTTTGCATCATTAATGTCTATACATCGAATGATTATAAAAAAACGATGCTTGCCTATATCTTATCTTATACCTTTACACGAGCATTTTTTGTAATATAATCTGAATCTCGGAAACGGCTCCAACGATTTTCATAAAATTTAGTATACAGGGGATTTCGGGGGCGATAAATTGATCTAGCTACGATTTATTTTCAGAAAATGTTGTTTTATTCGTGTTTATTGAAAACTTTATCGAGACTCTTCCCGACATCAATTGGCTAATAATAATACTATTTTTCTTAATTGAGAGCAACTAACTGCTTTAAAGACACAACAAGATTGCATTATAAAAAAAAAAACGAGCAAAACTCGGTCATCATCTAGTATTGCAAATTATATCTCATGAACTCCTCTAGAATGAACTAAATATCTGGTCCGAGATAGTTGAACGAGTCGGTCGTTCAAAGTGAACGTTGACACGACGTCAGTACGAACGAATGAGATAATTAAATGTAGAGACAGTGATTGTGTCGGTCGTCATTCGGTCATCGGTCAGGAACTAGGTCGAGAATGCAAATCTATTTTCAGTGGACCATTTGAAAGTTCAGTTCGATCTCTATTAATATCGGTGTTGGTTCACTACTCATGTGTGCAGTGATAAAAGATTTTTTGTAGAATCTGTGAGCCTTATTTATAAAGAAAACTTTGGTTTGGAAGACAACTGAAGAATTTGTCAGTCCTGTTAGTTGATAAATTTTTTTTCTTTGTTTTTTTTTTTTTTTTTATTCTTATTTAATAAATTTGTGTGTGTATATTAGGACCGAAATTCACAATGTTTTTTTGTCGATAACCTAACGTATTCAATCTGTAATTATTTCTGGTAATTCTTGAATTATGAATAATTCCATTATGATAAATGACAACTCAAGTTTTTCATTCATTCTATTTATGAAGTTTCATATCCATTTTTTTTCTGAATATAAAACTTATATATAAATGAATAAGCAGTGTAACAATGTTGTATGTTTGTGCATCCAGCCGTGCCCAAAGTCCAGCGCACGCACGTGTCGGAGGCCCCGCGGCGCCGCGAGCCGCTGCCCTACACGTTCTGGCAGGAGACCAGCGAGACGGCGCCCGCCTTCACCTTCCAGCTGCGGCCGCGCGTCATGCAGGCGCGCGACACCTGCAAGCTGCTGTGCTGCCTCAGCGGCAAGCCCACGCCCACCGTCAAGTGGTACGTCGCCCGCACTCTACCTCTCTCTCACTCACACTCACACCCCCCCTCTCTCACTCACACACTGCAAGACAACAACGCTAACGGTCGTTTGACAACAGGTACAAGGACAAACGCGAGCTGTCGAAGTACGACTACGCGATGGCGCACTCGGACGGCGTTGTGACCATGGAGATCATAGACTGTCGGCCCGAGGACAGCGGCAAGTACACGTGCGTCGCCACCAACGTGCACGGCACCGACGAGACCTCGTGCGTCGTTATCGTTGAAGGTACGACTTCTAGCTTCAGTATCTTAACTAGACGCCCACTAAATGGTCAACGAAGATCACGGGTATTACGTACTGAATTCCTTTGCCCATAGAAATCGCAATAGAAATACAGGTATCCTACCCTTCAGGGAAGCAAAAAGTAACGATCCTCAGGAGAACTACAAAGTAGTGTCTAGCAGGGATTAGGAATTATTCAAGAACAAGGTAATTGTAATTAGTGAGGGTAGAAGTATTTTTTTAACTTAAACAGTTTCATTCGCAATCCTCACCTGTACTATGTGACTATAGTAGAAAACTATTATAATTCTAACAAATAGTTTTACTGGTGGTAGGACCTCTTGGGAGTCCGCGCGGGTACGTACCACCACCCCGCCTATTTCTGCCGTGAAGCAGTAATGCGTTTCGGTTTGAAGGGTGGGGCAGCCGTTGTAACTATACTTGAGACCTAAGAACTTATATCTCAAGGTGTAGGTTACTTTGTAGATGTCTATGGGCTCCAGTAATCTAAGCAATAAAAAAAATAGTTCTCCGTCCGATTATTTGTGCCCGACCCCACTAACTTGGAGCGCGTGACGCAGGCGAGGTGACGTCACCTGAGCAACAGCGGATGGTGCACAACTTCCTGCACTCCGGCGACCGGAGGTACATCGAGAAGCCGCTGAAGCCCGCCCCGCCGCCCATCATCACCAAGACGAAGGTAGCCACACATTTATTGTTTATGATTGAAGGATTACTAGTGGCTCTGAGGCCTTTCCAGTTTCACCAGGACAGGTGGGCGAGTAAAGGCTCAGCCATGGGATTTGCTAACAGCTGCCTGAGCGTCTCCGAAGGAGGCCTAACCGGTGAAGATCCGGCGAGAAACTCAGCGGGCTGATGCATGGGTTAGGTTGCACGGCGAACTCTTTGTCGAGTTCCACGAGTACGGTTACAGAGGTCCCTAAGCCTGCTCCTTGTGTTAGAGCTGAAGGCGTCTAATGCAAGTGTTATTGGATCTGATGGATTCGTTAGGACGTTATAGCCCGATATCAAACTCTGCTCGTACCTTTTGTATTCATAGCTACGTTGAAAAACAAAATTCAACCTTAAGTTTTTAATTTTTAGATTCACATTTAAATATACCAGTGCTGATAAAAATATATTAATTTTATTCCCGAATAGCTAATAAGTCACACTGTATTACTGAAACACACTTTGTAATCAATTAGTAACTATATAATAAATATTCCGATTAAATTTTACATTGCATATACAGTTATGCTTTTCACATAGCCATTTTTAATCAAATTTCTTACCGTCGTCAATATACATTATATTCAAGTGTAATTATATTCTTTTTGTTTCATTTAAAATGTTTGATATTTTCAGGTGACGATAGACCCTCCATCGAAGACGGGTCCTCGTCCGAAGTACTCCCCCCAGAGCTCCGTGGACGCGAAGAAGAAGTACGGATCCAGACTCGACTCGGACGCGTCGTCGCGGTCCAGAAGCGCCACCAAGGAACTGATAAGTACGTGCTCTCAGTGTGTGCTTGAACTTTAAAGTCTAATTAAATATATATGTAAATTTTCCTACTACAAAACTTGTATGTAGAAATTCATCGATATGATATTCATTCATTCAAAAAATTTGATTTGTCTGGTGTTTAAGTATAATTAAAAAAATAGAATAAATAGCTGTACCACCACCCTGAAACAATTCTGCCGTGAAACAGCGTGCGTGGGTGGTAGCATTTATGTTGTAGAGGTTTACCACTTAACACCAGGTGGATCGTGAACTCGTCCATCCGTCTAAGCAATAAAAAAAGCTGCAACAGATGTATGATAAATGTGCTGGCTGAAGTTAGCTTATCATGCATGAGGTGAGGTTGCAATGTATCGAGCCATTGCAGAGTAAGACAGTCGCACACAACTCGTCATCCAATACAATTGCATTATATATTGTATAAGAATTTCGTAAATCTATGCTCGGCAAGTATCTAATTATACAAAATATAATTACCAAAATACCAAATAAAGAAAATACCCTAAAACAAGTTTAATGAATTCGTTTCCAAATTATTCTTGTCCATCTGATGGTTGCCTGGAAGAGATTTTACCTATAAGATCGCCAATAGTAGTTTTTTTTGTAATTAATACAATAAAGAATTTTTTTTTCTATCTCTCTCTCTCTCTCTGTAACGGATGTACAATGACGTTGCGTTGCGTGTGCAGTGCCGGCGGCGGACTCGTCGATGTGCGCGCCCACGTTCGCCCGCAGCCTGCCCGCCACGCTGTGCGCGCGCGACGCGGCGCCGCTGCTGCTGTCGTGCGCCGTGCGCGGCGACCCCGAGCCCGCCGTGCGCTGGTACAAGGACGCGAGCCCGCTGCACTCCTCAGAGGTTATTATTTTTTTACTTTTTTTTTCTAATCTAAGCCGATAGCCTTGGAAGGCTATTTCAGCGTAACCTTAACTAGTAGGTTAGGTCACGGGGCTCAAACCGGAGTGTTGCTAACACTGGCCCTAGCAAGAGCTTCGCAGAATCTACCACCAGACTAAATCGCGACCCACTGAGAAGATCCGGCGAGAAACTCAGTGGGCTGTGTCTGAGGGTTAATTTACTCGTCGAACCCTTCGTCGCAAGCGACAGGTTCGGCGAGAACAGTAACCGGTGCTTGTGGTACCTAAAAACACCGTTAATGAATCGGGAGGACCTGTAATGACGTGTCAGAACTGTACTTAATTTTTGATATTTGGACACTAAACTGTTATAGTCGGTCAAACAAGTGAGGATATAAGTACTTGTGTTTAATACGTATAAGCTCTCATTTATCGATTAAAAAGACGGTATTTTAATAACACAATACGAATGTATTGTAATATGTTTTTTTCCTCGTGATATGTGTATATGTAATTAAAATGTCTTAATCGGTGATTCTTACAAAAAAAAAACTTCATTGATGATGGAACTATTCAATCTATAACACAGTGGTAACTCACATGGATTCCAAAAACCATTACAACCCAATTGGACCATGATTTAAAGGAACTAAATAAATATTTCCGTTCTAAGGTCGTGGACTTGAAATACAAGAACGGCGTAGCGTCGCTGGCCATCAACGAGGTGTTCCCTGAGGATGAAGGGGTGTACTCCCTGAAGGCCACCAACAGCCAGGGAGAGGTGGAGACCAAATGTATAGTTACAGTTAAACGTAAGTACTTTTGTATTAAATATATATATATCGACGCTTGAAAGGCAAACCTGACTAAGTGACAATGCGTGAACTTTACAGTAGACTAATTTAAATTTGAAACACCTGAAAAAAATTATATTTTAACGAATCTAGCTGTAGGATTGAAATTTAATAGACCTAGAAATATAAATTTTTTGCGCATCCAATATGGTTATTGCCTATCATTTATTTACAAAGCAGTTATTGTCGCTTAGTCACGTTTGCCTTTCAAGCGTCGATATACACTCGCATTATGGTCAAAATAATTAACATATATAAACAATAAACAAACATAACTGTTAAAAAAAATGTGATTTGCTTTTATTTGATATCAAAATGACATTTCTATGTTGTATAAGTTTCACATGTAAATTCATAAATATATTTCGTTTAAAACACCTTTAAATTAGCTATTAATTTAAATTTTTTTATCTTGTTGATAATGGTCCGGGGATATCAGAGCGATCAGAACGAATTTGTCGAATTGTTGTATTGTCAACGGTACTTGGTACGTTTGGAAACTTTCATGTTACTCGTACGTCTTGTAGTCTGTAAAAAATACGCTCAAATATTTCGTTACATAGCTAATAAACGCATCTTAAAAAATATCTTTTTTTTAATCATGAAAAAAAAAAACATTTTATTGTCTGACGTTACTAACGTGATTATTCGTAACGTTCACTACGATATCTAATGCTGGCTTAGTATGAAACTAATTATGGTTTTGTGTTGTATGGACAGCAATGGACACGAGCGCCGGCAGCGCGGCACTGAAGGCCGGAGACAAGCCCCCGAGGATAGTCGACCACGCCGTCTCGCAGGTCGTCAACGACGGCGACCCGGTCACGCTGTCCTGCAGGTACGAACCTTACACGAATAATATATGTACATTAACGGCTGTCTGGTGTAGTAGTAAGTGACATGGTCACTGCACAAGGGGGTCGCGGGTTCGAATCCCGCCAAGGGAAGATATTTGTATGATAAATATAAATGTCTTTTCCAGGGTTATGGATGTATATTAAATATATGTATGTGTATAATAAAAATCTTACATTTATTTCCGTTATCTGGTACTTGTAACACAAGTTCTTTACGAACTTAGCACGGGACCAGTTAACGTGGCGTGATTGTTAGTAAATATTTATTTATTTATTATTTATATATACTCGTTTTTGTGGGTCGTAAACCTAATTAATACTATCTTTACGATTTAATTTCGCTTTTTTTACCATCAGTACATTATTTTTGACGTTTCTAATACAGTACAATTTTATAATGAGCTTTAAAGCAATTATAATAGAGTGCATATTCGGACATTTTGCTGGTGGTAGAACGTGTTGTGAGTCCGCACGGGTAGGTACCACCACCCTGCCTATTTCTGCCGTGAAGCAGTAATGCAACTAATTTGAGACCTTAGAACTTATATCTCAAAGTGGGTGGCACATTTACGTTGTAGATGTCCATGGGCTCCAGTAACCACCTAATATCAGGTAGGTTGTGAGCTCGTCCACCCGTATATTATTATTTTAGCAGTTAAAGTAATTGTATATCGATTAGTACGGAATTTCATCAATAGATGTCGCTAAATTAAAAAAATGGTACAGGATTGTGGGAGCCGAACGCTTCGATGTCGTCTGGCTGCACAACAACAAGGAGATCAAACCGTCCAAAGACTTCCAGTACTCGAGCGAGGCGAACATACACAAGCTGCACATCGCCGAAATATTCCCAGAGGATGCCGGTGCGTTTGTCACTAAAAATCATTATTTTTATCAGCTCATCTATACTTAATCTATATATTAATACGTGAAGCAAAAACTTTGTATCCCTTTTTACGAAAATTGCACGGACGGAGGAGTATGAAATTTTCCACACTTATAGAGAATATAGAGAAGAAGTGCACAATGCTAATATTTTTATAAAATAATGCATAAAAGATACATTAAATCCATAAAGAAAACATTACACACACTACATACCATGTATTTGACGCACACACGCATGCATACTATTTATTGTCAAACTTTTGTTCTTGACGTCTGTTGTCAAATTGAGATTAAATATTGTTTGTCTTTGTTAATATTTTTATAGTGTGTAGTCTTGGCGAAATTTGTAATTATAGGAGTATAAAATACAATCATAATAGTGTACAAACTTACAATTCCAATTAATTATAGTCGAATTTCGACTACTGCGGGACCTCTAGTACTTATTAATATTACTAGTCGTACTCGCCATTTAAAATTAACATTATTATTAGGGAGTCCAACACTCATATAAATATTAGCATATCCATTAAGTACATGTACTTTCTACATGGATACCAAGTTTCAAGTCAATCGGATGCACGGTTCAGTAGTTATAACGGAACATCCGTAAAAACCACTGTAGATTTATATATTAGTATCGATAAAGCTGAAGTTTGTTTGTTTGAACGCGCTAATCTCAGAAACTACTGGTCCGATTTGAAAATTTATTTCAGTGTTAGATAACTCATTTATTATTATACATAATTTATTTATTATACATATTATCGGCCACAAAGCCATAAAGGTCGTTATAATATATGAGTCGTCTATTATCAAAGGTGGCAATCTGTGCATTTGAACAAAAAAATGTTATTGATATGTCAATACAGATTGATTTGAATATAATCATCTCCTTCAAAGAATACGGCTCAAAACCTGCATTAAATAAAGGTTAATACTTAACCTGTTATTTATCTAAGATGTCGTTCAGAAGAGTTTTGTGACTGCCAATGGAATACAAAGTCAATAATTCGTTTTTCTGATTTACCAATAATTGTCCAAAAGTCACATTGCCGGCTTTGATAATAGTCGACTCATATATAATATAATATATAAGCATCCGAGTTTAGTTCTCTTTAATGTCAATAGATGACGCTTATATACATGTGGGATTTTAAATTCGGGGTGGGTCAGTGAAACGCTCGATCACTTCACAAAAACTAGATGCTTTATTTCGTCTTAAGTAACAACGTCTTTCGTCTTCCGGGTTACAATGCGTCTCAGCGTCGTCGCGTCCGGAAACTACTCCCTGTTGCTTATGCAATAAAATTAGATGTTCAGCATTCAATCGCCTCCTTCCTTACTTCCTAACACGACATCTCCTATCTCTCTCACTCAGTCATGCTCCATAGCGCTCCGTTCCGTTCCTACATACATTTATTTAAGTCATTAATGATTGATATGTAATGTAGGCACATACACGTGCGAGGCGTTCAACGACGCCGGCGAGTCGTTCTCGTCGTGCTCGGTGGTGGTGCGCGTGCCGGGCGAGGCGCCCCCCGCCCCGCACTACGTGGCCTTCCCCGCCTCGCTCACCGTCAACGCGACCGAGCCCGCCGTCTTCACCGCAGAGCTGGACAAGGTCAGCACCGGCGAACTTGACCCTCTCTTGTTATTGCTTAGATGGGTGGACGAGCCCACAGCCCATCTGGTGTTAAGTGGTTATTGAAGCCCATAGACATGTACAACGTAAATACGCCACCCACCTTGAGATGTAAGTTCTAAGGTCTCAGTATAGTTACAACGGCTGTCCCACCCTTGAATCCAAAACGCATTACTGTTTTACGGCAGAAATAGCCAAAGTGGTTGTACCTACCCGCGCGGACTCACAAGATGTCCTACCACTGGTAATTACGCAATTCACCGGGGAAATCAATCGAGAATATTTGTTGTTTTATTAGAAAAATTGGTACCCGCCAGGGACTCGAACACCGGTGCATCGCTACATACGAATGCACCGGACGTCTTATCCTTTAGGCCACGACGACTTCAAATTTCAGCTTACAATTCAATTTGATTGAAGTGGTTACCTCCGCCCATAAATATTACAACGTTAATGTCAATTTTATTGTGAACTCTCTTGGGTACGTATCAACGTATGATTTTACCGTGAAGCAGTAATACGTTTTGGTTTGAGGCTTGGGACAAGTATTTTACTGCAAAACTAAGTCTTGGAATTCACTTGTGAGCAAAGATCTCATCATCCCTCCCATCAGTCATGGTTTATACTACCTGGAGCCACTACGTTCATCCACAGCGCGTTTTACCATCCGGATTTGGAATGAGCTCCCCTCCACGGTGCTTCCCGAGCGTTATGACATGTCCTTCTTCAAACGAGGCTTTTGGAGATTACTTAACGCTAGGCAGCGGCTTGACTCTGCCCCTGGTATTGCTGAAGTCCATGGGCGATTGTAACCACTTTATATACTAGATTGGCTAGTTCTTTATGAATATGCTGACGTGAGTTCCTTCTCCAGCCACCGCTCCAGCTTCAGTGGCTGAAGGACGGCAAGCCGGTGGACGAGAGTTCGCCCCGGTACCGGTTCAGCATGGAGGGCGAGGCGCGGTACCGCCTCGAGCTGGTGGGCGCCGCCCAGGGGGACGCCGGCCAGTACCAGGCCCGGGCCGTCGGCTCCAAGGGAGATGCGCTCGCATCGTTCTATCTCAACGTCACCGACCACTAGCCCATGACATTGACAACCACATTGACATTGACAGAAGCGAAACGACGCGACAAGCGAACACAGGCGACATCTAGTGAGCGCCCGTGTCGAAACACCCCCCTATATAATAACTGGAAACGAATAATACGTACGCTAAATAAACGATTTTATACAATTCGGAGTAAAAGTGTGTAAAGGTTTTTTATTTAATTTAAAAAAAAAACATATTTATTTTAATGTTTAAGCGATCGTCCCTAGCGACGCGAAGGGCGATTTATTTATTTTGTTTTATATACGTCCTCCTCTAACAGAAGCTTCTCATTAAAAGCTTGAATAATTAAAGCTGCCACGTACGGATCGCGGTCGGCCCGTTCCGGTTGTCCCGGTACATCCTCACCGCCACCTGATGGTGTACCGGGATCGCCGCGACGGGCGGCTCATCGAACTAAACTAAATATATATATACATAAATAATTTTTTTTTTAATAAATTTTAACTGTTAATATTTTAATTGTACATAATTTATATCATGTGACCGCGCGTTATTTATAAATAAATATGTATTACTTAATAATGGCCGTGTTTTATTTTGGAGAACTGCCGCGGCAATGAACAGTTTTTTTTTTAAGGGATTATATGATCTGGTAACTTAGACCTTTAAGTCATGTCTTATTTTAATTTATATCCATATTTTTATGAAAAATGATATTATGGAGTGAAATGAAATGATGATTAATTTGAGACATTAATCAACTGGGTTGAAATTAAATGAGATGATTCGGGATGAAATAATAATATAATCTCAGTAAAATGGTGGTCATTTACTAAGATTTTTTCAGTGGACTTTTTGGAGGATCCCGAGAAGTTACGTCGAGCGGCTTTGTTTCATTTTCCCACATTTGTGCACTTTCACAGATATTAAACAGTTAATAAACCACCATTATTACACATTTAAACCCAAAGAAACACTAAATAGACAAAATAAAACAAATCACACAACTTCACTCCTCGCGTTCCCGCTAAAAAGTCCGCAATGAACAGTGAATTTATTATAATATAAAAATACCCTCTGTTTTATCCCTGTAATCGTATCGTAAAACAAAACCATTCTTAAGTAGGTGATTTTGAGTTGTCCTAAATTTGGTTTAATATTCACATATTCGTAAACGCGTTGCCATGTTTATTTTTTATTGCTTAGATGGGTGGACGAGCTCACAGCCCACCTGATGTTAAGTGATTATTGAAGCCCATAGACATTTACAACGCAAATACGCCACCCACCCTGAGATATAAGTTCTAAGGTCTCAGTATAGTTATGGGACATCAGGTCCTGTGATATTACTGATTTTGTGAGTCCGCACGGGCACTACCGCACTGTATATTTCTGCCGTGAAGCAGTAATGAGTTTCGGTTTGAAGGGCAGATATTGTACTGTAAAATCCGAAACCTTAGAAATGTTCTCGAGATGGGTGGCAGCGTTTACGTTGTAGATGTCTATGGGCTCCGGTAACCACATAACACCAGGTGGGCCGTGAACTCATCCACCAATCTCAGCAATAAATAAGTCTCCCTTTTATAACCCCTCTTCGTTCATTGAGGTCTGAAAGAAATTGAAGATTAAATGAATATCGCTCGAGAAACTTTCTTCTTCAAGTCTAATTTGACGCATCTGTGTAGTTTGTAGTACCAAAGTATCGAGATATTTAAACGTGCCTCTCGATCGAATCATACACTGCCATTTCTGAAACTTTGAGACGAAACATGAGACATTCCAACGAGATTTGAGAACATACAAGCCGATGCCTCCAATGAACACTACTCTAACTCAAAATTTTTAAATTTTCGTTTTTCACGCAAATCGCTTCACTATGTTAAAAGTATTACAATTAATCATTATTGATGGGGTTCGAAGCAAGAGTAAATCAGCTAGTTACACAAAAAAACCATAAATATATCTGCAATAATAAAGATTTTATCAACTTTTTTCATTTAAACGCTCCTCCTGTAAATCTACGAATTTGGAGTTAGCGTAGTGTTCATTGGAGGCATCGAAGCATGTTGAGGCCAACGGAACAATGTCATGTTTCCAATAGCCCAAAACACGATTGAAAGTGAATTCCAAATTCGTAACTCATCCTTCATAGAATTGAATATCGAGTTCAATAGAGTATTAACGCTTTTAATTACCAGTATTATAATTAAGTTTCATTTAGTGAGAATCCAGCACACCTCGGTACAGTAATTGCTTATCTAAATGTAAAAAGTAGAGAGACAAAAAACAAAAAAAACAAAATTAAAGAAAAGAACACGAATCAAACAACAGTGGACGTGACTTAGCACAGAACGTATTCAAAATGTATTTTTAAAATATGAAATCCTCGTAGGAACGAGTTGTAGTGCACGAGGTTGCTTACAATTGACGATTTGTCGTACGACATGTCACGACAATCGGTGTGTACGGTGTTATACACCACTATAAGCCCACTTGGGAATTAGTGGGAGGAATAGATTAAAAATCTATTAGATAATACAACTATAGCATTAGAATATTTTCGTTACGTGTTTAACAACGTTAAAAACAGTAATTTCTTAATTAGAAATAGAAAATTATCAGCTGGTTAATATCATTTGCAGTTGCAGCTATTGTGATTAGAATAAATACAGCAAGACTTTAATCTGGTTGACAATCTCTAGTTGCATATTTACAAATTCCAAACAACAACTGCCGAACGAAAACGCTTACCCCGTGAAAGAAGTTCCATTTATCACTCACTAAACGTTATTTTCAGTGACTCATTTATTGTGAATATGTAGGTTTCTGCATTTTGGCATACAGTTTTTCTGCACGGATCCATCAAATACAATAACAGTTTTAACCCAATAACACATTAGACGCTTTCAGCTCTAACACTAGGAGCAGGCTTAGAGACTCCGGTAACCGTACTCGTCGAAGTATGCAAAGAGGTTGACGTGCAACTTAACCCATGCATCAGCCGGCTGAGTTTCTCACCGGATCTTCTCAGCGGGTCACGATTCAGAACCGGTCGTAGATTCATTCACGAAGCAGCTGCTCTTGAATTGTTAGGTCCCGTTTGGAGACGCTCGGGCTGCTATTAGCAATCCCACCTCTCCTGGCTGAGTCTCTGTTTGCCCATCTGTCCTGGTGAAACTGGAAAGGCCTCCGGGCCACCAGTAATTCCTCAGTCATTTTCTATTGGTTAAACACCCACTTAGTACTAATTGGTTACCAGAGCCCATAAACATCAACAAAGTAAATGCCGCCACCAACATCAATAAATGAGTTCTAAGTCTCAGTTTTACAGTACAACGGCCGCTCCACCCTTTTAAGGGCAACTATTCCTATATAAAAAAAAAAACTGTCCGATACGATAACTCCGTACGGCGATCGTACGATATCACGGAAAGTATAAAAACGGTTACATTATTTAGTTTTATTTTCGAATCAGATCGTCGAAGCGTCGACTGAAGTGACGCGGCGGATTGTGTTCCACCCTTTATTATGTAAAGCGGACATGTGGAGATGAACCTTTATTTCTTTTTTGTAATGTTTCCACCACGATTTTGAATGATTATCATAGATTAATAGGTTCCTTTCAGTTTTTTGACGTTTTTTTTTCTCTCTAACGTTCCTCTGTTGATCGATTGTGTTTTAGAATCATCTTTCACATATTTTAAATCACCGAACTCAATATTCTATTACATGTTATTGTTCATAGAAAATAGATTGATTAAGGAGCATAGGCTTATGTTCAGGTGTAGGCGGCATTGCCGAATAATGTCTGTATGAATATATCTTGGAGTCAGAGCAGGGCTTCCACATTCCTGCTGCAAGTCGCAACTGAATCTTCAATGTGGGCAGCAGCAATCAAGTTTACGAGCTGCAATAACTGCTTGACGCCAAACAAGTCGAATAGGCAAAACAAATTAAATTTATCCAGATTTATATACTGCATTGCAGCTTTGTCTCCAGGTTCCAAGGCTAAAGGAAGACTTGGTACTTGACTTGGCACTAAGGTGATCAGAGAATGCAAGACTCCATGAGACTACCTTGACAAGCGAAGTGGAGTACAAAGCGCCCCATAACATTGCCCATAATCATTACATAAGAAGAATGACAAATTGAGTGGCGATGAATATGTACTAGTATTTTTTTTTTAATATTATTATTATCACGCCTCACCTTTTTTGTTTTCGGGCCGAAGCCGAACCTCATTCGAGGTCCCCGGGCCTAGAGGGCTCGTCAGGTATGTGGGCTGAACGATTCGCAAATTTCGGGAACGGACCTTGGGCCCAAGGAATGGAATTTAGAACTACCCACTAAACTTAAACGAATCCCCTGCACTCTTTCACCTGACATTCAATATCCGCCCGGGGTCAGAACTCGGTCAGAGTAGGGGTTTTTCGCGGTCAATACTACAACCAGACCCGCGGCGCCACCTCTATGACGTCCTACCGATGGGTCATCAAGGCATTCGTCGACTACCAATCACGTCGATCTCCGCGATATATCAGCACGTCATACTGCTGGGTCAGAACCAGCCAGCCAGCTCAGAACGCGATACACCGCCGACCGGATTACTCTTCCACAGTATGTTTGGCGACGACTGCGACGCGACCGCAGCCACCGATACGTCGTCCCATCCTCCTGGAACCGGCACGCTAGAGCGAGGGCACATCACGCCCTACATAAATTAACCAAATTCACCAAAGGTGACCACTCTGTGACATCATCTGTCACAACTCCTGACCTCCATTGCATTATATAAGAGCAGTATCTTCATACGAATAAATAAACGGTAAAATTATTATTTGAATAATTTAAAGTACTTTCAAGATTATGAGGCATATTTTTAAAGCCACAAGCTCTAATCGTATTGGTGTTTAAGTAAATATAATAATTTATTGAATACGGACTGCAGTTACTGTTGCCTGTTTAATATTTATTTATTTACATATTCGAATGTATATAAGTGTGAATAAAGACCAAGCCACGAACGTCCTAGTTTAAATCTAGATGTGTGATTTGTTCCCGATTGAATTATTACATGATAATTGAATTTTGTCTGCGACACGTAATATTGTAATTTCGTTTGGACATTTATATAATTTTTTTTTTTTGCTTATATGGGTGGACGAGCTCACAGCCCACCTTGTGTTAAGTGGTTACTGGAGCCCATAGACATCTACAACGTAAATGCGCCACCCACCTTGAGATATAAGTTCTAAGGGTCTCAGTATAGTTACAAGGGCTGCCGCACCCTTCAAACCGAAACGCATTACTGCTTCACGGCAGAAATAGGCAGGGTGGTATTACCTACCCGCGCGGACTCACAAGGAGTCCTACCACCAGGAATTACGCAAATTAAAATTTTGCGGGTTTGATTTTTATTACACGATGTTATTCCTTCACCGTGGAAGTCAATCGTGAACATTTG